GAATTAGGTTGTGCAGTTGGTCGCTTTCGGAAGTACGAAATACACAAAATATACAAATTAAACTGTCCGTATGTCCTCTTAGTCTGTGTCCCTTGTTCAGGAGTGTGTTCCCACTGAAAGGTGCTCTTCTTATACGAACGCCACCGAACATACTTGGAGATGGAAGTCCCAGCGATGTTCGCGCCATCGAGTGTCCGATTTATAGTTCCATGCACTCGACGACCAAACACCACTGTATGCGTACGAGGCTAAAGATGGCCACCACCACGTGTTCGCACATATGAACGGCGACCACCCAACCGACCGCTTAGAACTTTGTGGTAATTGCTGTTACCGAGGTGAGAACAAGGGTCAAAAGGGTCAATGAGCAACACACGACTCCTCTGGATGTCCTGACCATTCGGCAGTTTATTCAGTATACAAACTACATGGGTCCCTGGTGTTCGGTTTACTGAACCATCCAGTGTAACAAATAAGTAAAAATAAAAAGGATGACAATCCAGGGATAGGGGAATCTGTCACAGTGATCAAATAACTGTTCCAGCAGCAAAAGTTGCAATGCATCGGCCAGGGTGGTCCCTGGCATCACTGTATCCAGTTCTTGGTGGATCGAAAAGCCCATTCGGCAAAGGTATCTCTGTTACCTTTTCGTAATCCCCAAAATGTCCTTCTATAGTCTTCAGGTGTTACTGCGTACAGAGCCAGCAATAGCAATGTCTCTTTTACCCACTCATAATTGTGGATATCAGAGTCAAGTACTGCCGATAGGCTTCGGCTGCACTGCCCAACAATTTGCTGCTCAGGATAGCTTCCCAATTAGCCTTATCCAGACACTCCAAAGAACACTGTGTCTCAAAGTCTTGTAAACAGGTGTTGATGTCCATCTCCCCATCCATAAAACTTTTAAATGCAGCATAATACAACTTGCGTTGTCTTCTCCTTGAAGAGATGCTGTGTCTCCCTGGGACGACCTGGCTTTAGCTTCCCGGGCCCTTTGTGCCTCTGTGGCTTGTGCCATAATTGAGTGTTCTTGCATAGCAAGACCACTTAATGTTCTCTCACATATATATTCTTATTCTTATTCTTATTATAGCCAAATTTGCCACCCTAACTCCTCCCACAGTTTTTACACTACATGCAGATAGTGCAGATTGTTCCCGATCGGATTGCTATTACTTTGTGGAATGTTTCGCCGAGTGGTTCACGGAATATCGTCGTTCTTGTGGCGAAATTTGTCCCTTAGGAATGAATGGCAAAGCTAGAGTGGGAGCTGGCAAAAGCTGAAAAATCAGGACATGATTTCTAAACTGCCACCACTGCCTTATTTTCAGGCCCACCTACACAAATCTTATATCAAAACGTTCAGCTATCCCTGCTGCCACTAAACATGTCAACGGCTAAGCCATAGTCCTGATAGTTTTCACAATATAATCATTTGTTTGCAACTAACGCCGTCCATTGACATTCATTGAAACTTCACTCTACAAAGCTCAGATTTGAAGTGCAATTTCTAAACTGCGACTGTGCCTTCATTTTTAATACCTCAGAGACATACTATGCATCACAATGTAGGTCTGGGTCTTGTGATTCTCACAATATAAAGCTCTTCACTGTAGGATTTATAGTTTTTAAAATACGACCGTTTGAAGATGGCAACCACCAAAATACTCTGACCTGTGCCAGGCTGCAGCAGCAAGTAATGTCATAGACAGGGCCTTTTGAACACCTGCTAATGTTTTTATAAATGTATGGTTTAATGTAACTGTGCAACAACGTTGCAATTAAATGTGCTATATAAATTATAACAGTTACTCCGCCCACTCTAGTTGTAGACTACTGGTGGAGGCAAGAACACTTCACACAATTTCCCCAGAAATTGTAGCTTTTCTAGTTTGTACAATAATGTCCTGTGAGGGACTGGGCCACAGTATACTTAGCTGCCATTGTACATCTCTGTGAAACTCTGATTCTTCAATGCTCCCTGTCGATTAATTACTTGCTTGATTGCTCTCCATGAACTTGGCTATAAGTGTTGCTTTCTTTTTGTTACTTGCCGAATGTCCACGAGCTTCCAGTAGGTCTTTCAGCGTAGTTCGCTTAAGGAGCTTGTACTGCTGGGCTATTCACTGTTCTTCCTTGTTCGGGAAATCCATTTGGGAGAAAGATCCCGCTGCTTATTGCACCACCAAATGTGACAAGCCACCTGTACCCAGAGTGGTACGTTCGTCTAAACTCTCCTGAATTCCTGCAAGGTTCATGTGATTAAAAGCGCCTACCCAAACATCAGTCGAGACTAGATGAAGGGTACAAAAGGAATGCTTTATTATGGCAAAGTGGCCTGTTTAAATACACAGACCCCAGCATGGGGTCTCCAGCCAAAAGCATAGACAAGCCTGCCCAGACGTCTCTGTGCCTGGGAGATAAGTGAGTTTATTTTGCTTAAACTAATTATCTCCCAGGCACTAGATGTACAATGCACAAAACATTAAACACCCTAAAACATATACAAAATTAATAGGAACCCCCACAAGTCTTCTAGCCTGGATTTGAGCGCCCAAGTTGTCCAAACAGCGCTTAGATCCCTGTAGTGTAGCCAAATCACTACCGGGGTAAAGTTTTGACCGACCGCACATGTGGGTGCTGCCCAAAATAGTTCCATAAGTAAAGGGGGAGACAAAATGGCCACCATTTACTGTAGCATGTGCGTTTGGCTTTACAATTGGCAGCCACCCAGAGAGAGCACTTACATTTTGGGTTTTCTTTAAAGACAATGAGCTAGGGGGTGGTCAGTGTTTAGTAGGTAGAAATACCGAACCAAGGCAAAACAATTTGGGCTCGATGAAAAGGAAAATAGTTTCAGGGCAGTTTGTCACACCCATATTTTGTGGAATACTTTGGGTGTGTCATGGATGTGAGCAGTCAGTTTATCCATCTCTATTGTCTCTGTGATTTTACGTCTCACTGTGATAAGAGTTGGAATTTGTTTGTCTGCCCACAGTTCCCCTAGCGCTCTGCATGCTGCTAGTGCTATGTGCGATGCGAGTTTATTCTCATGTCTGGTAGGATGTCTGTAGGTTTCTATAGGAGCATGACCCATACATTCTTTAGGGAGATAGACATGGTATCTGCCAGGTACCTAGAGAGGGGGGGCAGAATGGACAGTTTGCCATTATAGGAGTGACAGGTGATCCCAGTTACCTTGCTGTCTAATAGAGCGGGGGCAACATTGAGAGAGTGACAGTGGATTCTAGGTATCTGTCTGTCTAAAAGAGAGGAAAGCAGAATTGAAAGTGCAGTTATTGGAGTGACAGCCCACAGTGGATCCCAGGTACCTGACTGTCTAATAGAGAGAGTGATTGTGGTTATAGGTGGCAGTGGATTCCAGGTGCCTGACTGTCTAATACGAGGGGGTGGGGAGGAGGGAGCTACTTTGAGATGGTGCAGTGATTGGGGTGACAGTGGACTCCAGGTACCTGACTGTCTATTATGATGGGGGAGGTGGGAGCAGCACTGAGAGAGTCTCTGTGATTGGGGTGAAAGGTGACAGTGGATTCCAAGTTCAAAAAAACAAAAGAGTGAATTTATTTTAAGAAATGCATTTGCATATAAACAACGTTTCAGTCCAAGTACCTTGACATATTAAGAAATGTTTGGTAATGGGAGTTGGTAACCAGTCAGTTTAACAGTGGTCCATTACAAAGGTTTTGCTCAAATGAGCTTCCAATCTATGAGGAAAAGAGGGGGGCCTCGGAGTTTGCACTGCCCCTGGGGTGGGTGTCTTCCAAACCTTACTTGCCTTCTCCCATCCCCATGAAGAGGGGATAGGGGACGGGAGTGGAACCCGGCGCGGCTGCCTGGGAAGCAGTTCTTCGGGTTCGGACCTGCAGAGGAGTCTGGCCTCCACCGCCACCCGAGGCCTGGCCCTGCGGCTATGAGAAATTAGAAAAAAATAATTTTACCCCCACATGAGAATGTATACCTGAGTATTTTGGGCTGTTTTATAGAAGAATACACCATGCCCACAAATATTTTAAAGCATGGGGCATTCATGATCCTTTTAGTGTAATGTCATGGGGACTGCTCATCCTCTGACACTGTAGGATTTGAAAGGGGGCAGCAATTGTGGGAAAATCACATTGCTGGGAGGCAGGGCATCTACAACAATGTTTTCAAATTTATAATAATATTTATTCATTTAGTTTCTTAATTTATTTAAATGAGGTGGAGTTGTGCATTCCTGGCAAGAGTAGGGAAAACACCAGTGTCAGGTTGGCTACATTGGTAATATTAATTATACCAGACTCCCAGAGAGAGTCAGGAGAGTATTCCGAGAACAACTGGATGTAGTGTTTATGGTGCATAGAGAGCCCCTTTCAACCTGTGTATAAAGCTGACAAGTGGCTTTCTCTGCCTTTTTATAATGAGGTCTATGGCAATACCCACATGATACTTTCCAAAGCCATAAAAAGTGTTTTATCTGGCTTTTTCTAATCCCAATACTCTCACACCTAGTGACACCTATAGAGAAGGTGTTCATTGATAATGAGTAATGACAGGGATATGCAGACATTTTACAAACACTGCTGACATGCCAGAGTCAAGCAATAGGGAGAAGTAAAGAAGCATATTAAACAGGATTTAAGTTTTCGCTCTTAATAAGGTGGTGGCTAGATTTCACAGCATTTCATGGAAAGTGATTTTTCCAGCCTTTTGTACAACAATAACACCATAAAACAGGCATGTCTGTCAGTGACTAAGTCCTGAAATTATTGGATACTGAGACGTCGAGACACTATAATTTGGCTGTAGGAGGGACCAGACAATTTCGAAAATTTCTACTTACATTTCACAAGCTGACTCAGTGATATGCCTGTACCCTCCCAGTCAAAAACCTTATAAATTGAGACACACCCAACAATAAGCTTTTCAGCTTCTTCTCAGCCATTGCACCAAGACCAAAGAAACAGCAAGGAGACATCGACGGTGACAGCCCGCAGTGGATGCCAGGTACCTGACTGTCTAATAGAGGGGGGGGGAGCAGAATTGAGAGAGTGCAGTGATTGGGGTGACAGTGGATCCTAGATACCTGACTGTCTAATTGAGGGGGGAGGGAGCATTGAGAGAGGGCAGTGATTGGGATGACAGGTGACAGTGGATCCTAGATACCTGACTGTCTAATTGAGGGGGGGGAGCAGAATTGAGAGAGTGCAATGATTGGGGTGACAGGTGACAGTGGATCCCAGGTACCTGACTGTGTAATTGAGGGGGGAGGGAGAATTGAAAGAGTGCAATGATTGGGGTAACAGGTGACAGTGGATCCCAGGTACCTGACTGTCTAATTGAGGGGGGAGCAAAATTGAAAGAGTGCAATGATTGGGGTGACAGGTGACAGTGGATCCTAGGTACCTGACTGTCTAATTGAGGGGGGAGGGAGAATTGAAAGAGTGCAATGATTGGGGTGACAGGTGACAGTGGATCCCAGGTACCTGACTGTCTAATTGAGGGGGGAGGGAGAATTGAGAGAGTGCAATGATTGGGGTGACAGTGGATCCAGGTACCTTTCTGTCTAATAGAGGGGGAGCAGAATTGAGAGAGTGCAGTGATTGAGGTGACAGTGGATCCTAGATACCTGACTGTCTAATTGAGGGGGGGAGGGAGAATTGAGAGAGTGCAGTGATTGGGGTGACAGCCAGCAGTGGATCCCAGGTACCTAACTGTCTAATTGAGGGGGGGAGGGAGCATTGAGAGAGTGCAGTGATTGGGATGACAGGTGACAGAGGAGCCAGGTACCTTTCTGTCTAATAGAGGAGGGAGCCGAATTGAGAGAGTGCAGTGATTGAGGTGACAGTGGATCCTAGATACCTGACTGTCTAATTGAGGGGGGGAGGGAGAATTGAGAGAGTGCAGTGATTGGGGTGACAGCCAGCAGTGGATCCCAGGTACCTAACTGTCTAATTGAGGGGGGGAGGGAGCATTGAGAGAGTGCAGTGATTGGGATGACAGGTGACAGAGGAGCCAGGTACCTTTCTGTCTAATAGAGGAGGGAGCCGAATTGAGAGAGTGCAGTGATTGAGGTGACAGTGGATCCTAGATACCTGACTGTCTAATTGAGGGGGGGAGGGAGAATTGAGAGAGTGCAGTGATTGGGGTGACAGCCAGCAGTGGATCCCAGGTACCTAACTGTCTAATTGAGGGGGGGAGGGAGCATTGAGAGAGTGCAGTGATTGGGATGACAGGTGACAGAGGAGCCAGGTACCTGACTGTCTAATAGAGAGGGGGAGCATTGAGAGAGTGCAATGATTGGGGTGACAGTGGATCGAGGTAACTTTCTGTCTAATAGAGTGGGGAACAAAATTGAGAGAGTGCAGTGGTTGGGGTAAAAACACCCGCAGTGAATCACAGGTACCTGACTGTCTAATAGGGTGGGGTGCATTGAGAGAGTGCAGTGAGATGCCAGGTTCCTAGAGGGGGATGAGGGGGGGCAGAATTGACAGTGTGCAATTATAGGAGTGACAGTGGATCCCATGTACCTGGCTGTCTAATAGAGCAGGGGCAACATTGAGTGAGGTACCTGTCTGTCTAAAAGAGACAGAGCAGAATTGAGAGTGCAGTTATTGGAGTGAAAGCTCACACTGGATCCCAGGTACCTGACTGTCCAATAGAGGGGGGGTAATTGAGAGAGTGATTAGGGTGATAGGTGACAGTGGATTCCAGGTGCCTGACTGTCTAATAGGGGGAGGGGTGGCTGCTTTGAAATGATGCAGTAATTGGGGTGACAGTGGACTCCAGGTGCCTGACTGTCTAATAGGGGGAGGAGTGGCTGCTTTAAGATGGTGCAGTGATTGGGGTGACAGTGAACTCCAGGTACCTGACTGTCTATTATGATGGGGGGGGAGGGAGCAGCACTGAGAGAGTGCGGTGATTAGGGTGAAAGGTGACAGTGAATTCCAAGTTCAAAATAAACAAAAGGGTGAATTTATTTTGAGAAATGCATTTGCATATAAACAACGTTTCAGTCTAACTACCTTGACATATTAAGAAATGTTTGGTAATGGAAGTGAAATGGTGAATGTATACTGTTGCACAGCACAACGTAACAAATTACGTTATCTTGTTGATTGTTGATGAAGTCCTATGAGTGTGTTGTTCACATTGGCTGAGATCATCAAACTTGATGATCTCAGCCAATCCAATGCTTTCCCATAGGAAAACATTGGGAGGCTATTGTGCATGTGTGGCAAAAAGCTGCGCAGCCAAACAGCATCTCCATGGGGAGCATTCAGTGCCTCCATTTGGACCCAATCTAACACACTGCCCCACCTCCCACTCTAATACATTGCCCCCAGATCCAACACACTGCCCCTCTTCCCTCCACTCATCCACTACACCATACACTGCCCGCTTCACCCAATCTGATACATTGCCCCTTAATCAAATACACTGCACCTCCTCCCTACACTCTAATTGAATAGACTGCCACCAGTCCCACCACTCTACTTTAATACACTGCCTTCCCCCATAATTTAACACACTGCCCCCCTCCACTCTAATACACTGCCTCCCTCAAATAAATACACTGCCCCCCTTCCCCAGTTTAAAACAATGCCCCCCTCAGGGTCAGATTAAGAGCCCAGTGGGTCTGGTGCTGAAAATTATGATGGGCCTAATTACAGAATCTTATCGACAAAAAAAACAAGAACACTAAATCACTCCCAAGCGTCATGTATCTGATGGACATGGTGCTGGAGGGAAAGAAAACAGCAGATATAACAAAACACATATCCTCTCTCAAATTTATGTTTTCATCTTTTAAGTAAATCCATAACCCCTAACAGCAGTGTCCAGTGAAGCAGAAAGTCAATGGGCGGGGTAAAAGGGTATGCCACTGACACAAATCACGTAACCTGCCAAAAGGGGTGAACATGCCTAAAAAGGGGACATGTCTGCCCAAAGAATGGGAAGGCAAGCCTGGCATGAATGCATGTCAGGCTGCCTGCCAATCATGCAAGCTAACTAAGGGCACACTATGCAGACAGCACCCTGAGCTTGGCATAAATGCATCTAATGATGCGCTCGCTTACCACTTTCTAAGGACTGTCCCCTAGCACTCGCTGGTCCACTTGTCTCCTTACCTTCTAACTAGCAGGCAGACGCTCCTGGTATATAGTCTGGGACAGAGGAAAGCTGTATGTAGTGAGTGTAGAAGAAAGGGAAAATGCCACAGTGTTAGAGAGACCAAAGTCAGCATTATCTTAACTAATTTCATTGTCAGCTAGTCCTCACAAGTTTTGCTCCCATACATCCCTCTTAAGTTTCCATACTTAAGCAAGAGTATGTGAAAAGTAGGTAGGGTTGCCACCTTTCTTGGAAAAACATACTGGCCTTACTAATTTGCATAATTAATTATGTATGCGTGACATCACATGATGTAAATCACAAGGAGTAACATAGGAGAAAATGCTCTAAAATCACCCCAAAACTACTTACAGTTTGATTCTGCTGTCTAGATGGATTGCTCCCAGTGTCTCCCTGTCTCCCAGCGTCTTAAGTCTCCCACTGTCTCAGTGTCCCTATGTATCAGTTTACCCATTGTAAGGGCCACCCAGAGTATCAGAGGGGTGTATGCCGTTAGAGACCTCCTTTTCCTTTGGAAAGAGCTGTGCTGTAGTATTCTCCAGATGTCATATCAGCCAAAGTCTCAGCGGTGTTCGGGCCATTGAGTGTCTGAAAATAGTTCCAGACATGCAACGACCAAACCCCGCTGGACGCGTTTGATAAAACAAGATGGCCCCCGCCACGTGTTCGTGCATACGAAACGAAGGCCACCCAGAGACCTCTTTTTCCTTTGGAAAGAGCTGTGCTGTAGTATTCTCCAGATGTCATATCAGCCAAACAGGTAGTTGAAGGTGTAGTAGAGCTGTGAAGCAGGTTCCCTACAAGCATGAGACATGGCTACGTGTTGAGGGTTAAGCAGAACTGATTTTAATGGGGCCACAATGGTCTTTTATGCAAGTTTTCCAACAAGGGTGACACCCAGGTGTACCTTGTTGGGAACAGGGACATACAGTGAATAACCAATAAACATAGAGTCACATAATGAGACACTCCCATTCATTACACACAATCCCTCCAGTCTGTTTGGGAGATAATTGAGTTAATTACTGTATCAACTCAATTATCTCCAAACGAAAAAATTCAAATTTTTGTACATTTTCAGAAATACTCTAAAATCATATCAGAACCCATAAAACATACATTTTCTGATAGCCCCGATCTAGAGTAACAACAGTAACAACAAAAATCATCCAAATCGGTTCAGGGATTAGATGGAAAGTTAGATGCAAGTCCCATTTCTGCCCGGCCGCACACTAGGCTCCTGCCCATAACAGTTCCATGAATTCAGCTGGTGCGGCCGGTCTCTTTCGTGCAGTATAAAATGTAGAACAATAGTTCACATAATCGTTCGTGCATGTGATGGTCGTGTGCCACTTCATTCGTACATTGTCTCTACCGAATGCCACCTCCTTTGGATGAATTAACACAAATCTAAATGGTCCTGAAAGTCTCAGCGGTGTTCGGGCCATTGAGTGTCCGAAAATAGTTCCAGACACTCAACGACCAAACCCCGCTGGACGCGTTTGATAAAACAAGATGGTCGCCACCACGTGTTCATGCATACGAAACGAAGGCCACCCAGTGAACCACTTAAAACGTTGGAGTTGCGGTTTGGTACAGTTTGTTCATTTTTAATTCGTATGATGGTTTAGGTAAAGGGTATTGCAAAAAAAGTTCAGAATAGCAACAAAATTATAAATCCAACAAACAGGTCATCTGTTACACCCATGTTTCCTGGGGCCCCCATGTCGCCCAGTGTCCACTAGTCTCCCAGTGCCCCCCATGTCTCCTAGTGCCCTCATGACTCAGTGTCCCCATGTGTCGATTACCCAGGTCTCACAGTGTCCCTATGTATCAGAGTGTCTAAGTGCCCCATGTCTCCCAGTGTCCCCTAGTCTCCCAGTGTCCCTTAGTGTCATGTCCCCTGGTCTCCCTGTGACCCTATGTATCATAGTGTCCCTATGTATCACAGTGTCTCAATGCCACATGTTTCCTAGTGTCCTCTTGTGTCTCCATGTCGCCCAGTGTCCCCATGTCTCCCTGTTTCACCCAGTACTCCCATGTCTCTCAGTGTCCCCTAGTGTCTGTGTCCCCATGTCTCCCAGGGTCCCCATGTCACTAGGACACTAGGAACACAGAGACATGGGGATACTGTGGGGCATGGGGTCACTGAGACAGGGAACACTGGGAGACATGGGGACACAGACACTATGGACACTGAGACACTAGGGAAACTGGAAGACATGGGGACACTTAGACACTAGAGGACACTCGAAGACTAGGGGACACTGGCTGGGACACATGGGGACACTGGGAGACTAGGGGACACTTAAAGACATGGGGACACTGCGACACCAGGGACACTGAGACACTAGGGACACTGGCTGGGAGACATTGGGACATTGAAACACTTTAAGGGACTTTAAAGAGACATGGGGAAACAGTCACTAAGGACACTGGGAGGCATTGGGACACTGAGACACCTGGGGACACTGAGACACTAGGGACACTGGGAGACATGGGGACACTGAGACACTATGGACACTGGCTGTGACACATGGGGACACAGGGGGACTAGAGGATACTTAAAGACATGGGGACACTGAGACACAGGGACACTGGCTGGGACACATGGGGACACTGTGTCTCTAGTGTCTCAGAGTCCCCATGTCTCCCAGTGTCTCTGTGTTCCCATGTGTCTGTGTCATAATGTCTCCCAATGTCCCTTAGTGTCTCGGTGTTCCCATATCTCCCAGAGCCCGTATGTCTCCTTTCCGCCTTTTCCCCCATATCTCACTTCCCTGAGGTGTAGGCTGTCTCTGCAGGCTGGGAGTTGCTGTCTGGACTCTCTGTAGCTGCTCCCTTGCGGATCAGTGAGTAGAGATAGGCAGGGTAGAGATAGCAGCTACTGGAACGTCCCATCCCCTGCCTCTCTCCTCACACAGCGACCCCTACTGGCCAGTGCTGGTATTGTATCGTAATCTTTGTTTATACTGAGAAAAATACCAGCATTTGTATTGTATATGACTGCAATATTAGCACAGGCCAGGAAGTCTCAAATTCCAGGCAGGTGGCAACCCTTAGAGCAGTGTGTACAAAAAAAAATATATATTATTTTTATCAATGGGCCTATTTCATGGGCATGGGCCTGGAGCTGCAATTATAATATTCAGGGGGAGGAAACACACCAATTGGCGGGAACCCTAATTTTAATATACCATTGGTGGTGGGTGGGGGCCCTATTTATAATATTCAGAGGGGACCTTGTGTCCCGCCCAGACCCTACTCATGAGCAATGGTTGATGGCTCTAAATAAGTGATGGATAACATGCTATTGTCCACACCCCCAATTATTGACATGGCCTCCCACATACAATCCCAACTAGGTTGCTAGGGATCCCTAATTCCCTAGCCATCACCTTTAATAATAATAGTGGGAGGGGCATTAAAACTAATACCTTCTAAAGTCTTCTCTTCTTTAGTCTCAGAAAAGGTCAGAAAAAAAAGCCATCACTTCCTGATTCGAACAAAAACAGATCCAAGTAAGGCCTTTGAGGGCTCCACACATGATGGGGCTTTAAAATATGAGTCATTATAAAGGCTTCCCAAATGCTTTGAATTCTCATTAGAGCGCTCTGATGACAAGTCTCATTTCTATCAAGACTTGCTGTGAGACGTGCCTGTCACAACGCTTTATTGGTTGGGTTACATGCCAAGCAATCAGAGTGCTCTGACGAGAATCTAAAGCATAAGAAAGAGTTAACAGAGGCTTTAAATGCTGTGGAGCTGACTATGCATGTGACAATGGTGTTAGTTTCAGGAGGTGTTCAGCAGAATGTCTACCCCCCTCCCCCTTGTATATTTTATTAGTAGCCCTCTACCGGGTGGGGGCTGGCGGCAAACCACTAGGTTTGTGCACTCTTTTATTATTATGATTTATAAAGCATCAACAGAATCTGCAGTATCCGCAGTAAATGGGTGGACTAACAGACAAATATTTGTAACAAGACGAGATGGACGCACAGGAACAGACGGTGCAGACAGCGAGCAAGCGAGCTAACATTCTAGAGGGAGTGGGGTAAAGTGACAAAAGAGGTAAGTGAAGGATGTATTTTAGGTACGGGAAAAATAAATTACTGGACTAGTGTATAATGAAGGCTTAGTTTATTGTATGACACAGTTTCAGGAGAGCAAGCGGTTGGGCTACTAAGGTGGATGGAGGGAAAGCAATTTAACTGATACCCTTTCCTAAAAAAGTGCGTTTTCAATGATTTTTTTGAAGGAACTGACACTGAGAGAGACTCTAACAGAACAGGGAAGGGAGTTCCATAAGAAAGACGCAACCTTAGAGAAGCCCTAGACACAGGTATTTGGCAAAACGTAGGGGCCTGGACGTGCATACCTGTGAATTAGGAAGGATAGATAAGTACCAAGAGCTGCCCATGCAGCTGCCTCCAGGGTGCCTGCCTAAAGTGTCATGCAGTCCCCCTAATGGCCTAATTAGGGGGGGGATTTGAAAAGTAATTAGGGGAAAAAAAATAACATTAATATTATATTTGTGTTCGGGGTACAAAGGCCGTAGAGAGTGATAGTGAGAAAATTAGGAATAGCGTAAAACAGAATGGAAAAAGTCAGTTGTGGTTTGCCGGAACTGATGATGCGGTAGGCCTGTATTTACCCTTAAGGTGTAAAGAGAGGTAGATTGAGTGAATAGAGGGAGTGGAGGGAGAGTACTGTCAAGAAATGGAATGGGATCCAACACGCAGAATGTAGATAATGAGTAATGTATACCGGACCTTAGAATGGCTGGACTAATGTATAAGAATAAGAGGTAGTCAAATTCAAGCTGAGGTCAAGGAGTACAGAAATCAGGATAAGCAAGTAAGCAAAAGCCAGGTCAAAGGAGTATAGAATGAAGAGTAGTCACAAAAGGAGCCAAGATCAAAAGCTGGAATACAGAATACGGAACAAGCACTATTGGGAACAAAAATGAACCACAACAGGGCAAAGAACCTAGCCCTTTGAGTCCTTTTTATACTGTGGCTTGTTAGGATGATAGCTACACCCCCAAAACATCAGAATCCAAATGTATTGGCGGAACGTGACTGTGACAAACTTTTTCTGTGAGTTTGTCATGAGTTTTTGGAGGGGTCTGTTTGCCAGCCTCCTATCCTGTGACTATGGGCCCTGCAACAAACCTTGCCCAATGCACTTTAAAAGGCTCCATTCATGTAATGTAAGTACTTTTGTACTCCACAAAGAGAGACCGACCTCTGGCCCTTATTCCATGGAACTATTTTGGGCATGAAGCCATGCTTGCAGCTGGTCAAAAAGAGACTTCCTCGAAACTTTTGAACCCCTGCTCTGATCTGGGTGATTTTTGGATATGTTGTTCCCCCAATTAGGGCTATCCAGGGATGTTATGTTTTGGGGTACTTTCTGAACTTTGTTAAAATGTGTTTTTTCTGCTTGGAGATAATTGAGTTACTTACAGGACTTTACTCAATTATCTCCCAAGCAGAGGGGAGGGATTGTGTGCTGTACATGGGCATGTCACAAACTGTATGTTTGTTCTGATTGGTTTATATCCTTTGTGTTCCTGTGGCCTGGAGAATTGTAGAAAAGTCAACCTGAACCATTAAAGCTCAGATCATCTTGCACCTTCATGAAGTTTTGGCTCATGTTTGGGGGGTTGGAGAGCTATATATACTCTGGGGATTGCTGTATCACAATACTCCCCTGAGTATAATCACTAGCTCTTATAAGAGTGGTTCCTGCTACGCTCTCTGGACTAGGAGAGGCCTACCTACTGGAATCAGGATCCTGGTCTTGGATCCAGGGTGGGTGGAGAACGGAGAGACCCCAACCAAGCTGCGGCAGTTCGTGGGGTTTACGGTGGTTATGGTGTTCCGGCGCGGTGCTTATCGTACTCGTAAGTGCTTGGAAGCAGCGATTGACGGAGGTACCCGGTTGGGTGCAGGCGGTCTGTCACAGTGACGTAATTTGCGTCATGACGTCGATGCCCCCTTGTTGCATAAAAAGGGGAAAACATCTGGAAAGGAAGAGGAAAGCTGAAGAGGACCTACATCTTCATGTAAGAGTTGAGTACCCTGAGGGACAACCTTGGTCACTACATAAGGGACCCTGACAAGTACATGCAAATCGCTAGACCAGGAACGGTACAGGAGAAAGGGAGGAGTCTCTTTAAAAAGGTAATTAAGCTCCTCCCACAACTCCAGGCAAAGCCTTACCATATATACATATATATTTGTGGTTGAATACAATAAGCTGAATTATAGTAAGGGTGGTGTAAGTAGGTTGTGGTGTGCCGGAACCGATGTTCGGGTAGGCATGTAAAAGACAGCCCACCAAGATGAATGGCTTAATAAATGGTTTGGTAGGTGGGCTGAACCAGGCAGTCTCAGCCCAGAGGAAGGGGAGATCTGTGTATTTATAGGCCGGGTAACTCCTCCCACAACTACAGGCTTCACCTAATGGCTCAGCCTTCTCATTTGTGGTTGTTTACAATAAGCCAAGTTATAGTAATGGTGGTGTAAGTCGGTTGTGGTGTGCCGGAACCAATGTTCGGGTAGGTTTGTAAAAGAGGGCAAAACGTTTAACACAGAATACGTGATGACATTAAATAACATAAAAATGTTTAACAGTTTAACACAGAATGCGTGACGACATGACATTACATAACCAATACTTAAATGCAAGTCTCAATTCCCTCTTAGGTTGAGAGATATATATGGCATATGCAGTCCCAGCCATTAGATGTTATGTACTAGGATATAATTAGAGGTAGTAGAAGCATTCTTTTAGAATGACCTGAAAATGTTAACAGTTGTAATCGAATAACATTAAGGTGTTGTGAGCTAGTTTAAGGTTGAGGTGGCAAAAAATATGTGAACCCCACCATGAAATCGAATGAGTATGGTTTGATGATTTTATATGTGGAAGTGAGTTTATTAAAAATGGCCCAGCACATGAACAGGTGGCCTTGGCAGAGAGCGTTGCATGTGCCAGCAGTGAAATCCTGGAAAGTAGTGGTTTGGTAGGTTGTTCGGAAGAATACGAAAAATTGTGACCTCATTGGTTGCTATGTTGTAAAAGCCTGTTATGGGTATCTGAACAAAGCAGAGTTTCTGTGTTGCTGCCAGCCAAACCTCTTCCTAATCATCTTATTATTGTTAGTGAGGTGGACTGACAGGTAATAATTCCCATGCTACGAGGGTATGTTCCTTGTCACAATGGGAAATGTGTCACTGACCCACTTAACTATGAAATTGGCTGTATTCCAGTGTCGGTGGTGTATTAGTCCAGAAATGAGGAACAATGGTAGCGTGAACATGGTTCACCAGTTCTAGTGGGATAGAAAGGTAAGCGACATGAACAGGACTGCTCAAGCATGTGTCAAATGTAACAGCGTTATTGTTTACAGGTGAACCTGGTAGCAGGTTGAGCGGATGGGAAATGAATGCACTCCCTTGTGTAAGGTACATGGTAAAGTTCAGAGTACGCGTGTAGAGATATTGCAGCGGAAGGCCAATATTACCAAATGTAAGTCTTGAGCTGCCTGGTGTATAATAGGGTGTATGTAAAGTAATGATTATGGCATGAACTCTGGTATCACTTAAACGCAGTATAATAGGGTAATATATAACCCCCAAGCAACAGGAAGGCGAAATTGGGTTGTAGCTATAAACCCATCTTGGATGAAGATTATGTAAGTGACGGCCTAGTGAGATCCGTGTCTCAAGGTATAGGACACGGATCTCATTGTGAATCATGAGTAGCAGGGTATATATGCCCATAATGCTCTTACACCCATAATTCTGGCAAAGCATCATGGGAGGTGTAGTCCAAAACATCTGGAGTGCCCTATGCCTGGTCTAGAAGGTATGAATAATATAGAAAAATTGTAAAGTTAATCTGTTGTTGCAAAGTTCTGAGTTTCACTCTTTTTTTGACACAGGCTTGCGTGGCCAGTTTTACACAGACATGCTTGGAATCTGCATTGTCCTCATGATTTGCCTTAGTGCAGTTCACAGCCAGTTTCCCAGAGCCTGCACGACTGAAGCAGCTTTTCGGACAAAGACTTGCTGTCCCCTCTGGAAAGACAATAGTCCCTGTGGTTCCTTGTCCGGTCGTGGAAGGTGTCGAGACTGGACACCTTTAAGACGAAACAAAATTCCTCAAGTTAATGATGATCGTCTGGACTGGCCAAGATTCTATTATGAAAACACATGTGAGTGCCATGGAAACTACAGTGGCTTTGACTGTGGAGACTGTAAGCATGGATACTTTGGAGATAAATGTGACCGAAAAAAAATGATAATTCGAAGAGAGATCAGAGAGCTGTCTTTTCTAGAGAAGAAAAGATTGTTCAGCTACTTAGCTCTGGCTAAAACAACTAAAAGTAAAGACTTTGTTGTCCTAATTACAGGAGACAGACACCATCGAGAGACATACCGCTTTATTGATGCATCACTTTATGATGTTTTTGCATGGATGCATTACTATGCAATGAAGCCCATACTGATAAATAATACATTTGATCTCATTAAAAATTTTGCCCATCAGGGTCCTTCTTTCCCAGGCTGGCACCGGCTTGCTATCCTATTTCTGGAGAGACAGATCCAGCTGATGACTGGAGATGAGGACTTTTCTATTCCATATTATGACTGGCGTGGAGAGAAGAATTGCTCAATTTGTACAGATGATCTTTTGGGAAACAATAATGCCCAGGGTATACTGACTCCATACTCCCACTTCTCTTTCTGGAAGGTGAGATACCTAATTTCTTGCATTGCATTACTTACATTTTCCCATCTAGTATACTATCTAGAGAAAAGGAGTAGAGGCACAGGTTATTGCAATATTAAAAGGATTGAAAATACAAACCGTTTCTCCTGAGCTGCAGCTAATCCCACTGTAGTTCCAGCTGTGTAAACCAAATAAACATACAAACAATGAGGTCTGTGCTTCCAGCTGTAGTGTGCATCAATCTGCTACCAAGCATTTATTTGAAGGACATAAAAGTCAGGCAAACATTTCGGACACTTATTCAATGCAAATGTCCTTCAACATGCAGCAAAACTCACCAGTTTATATACAATGTGCAATAAATTAAGAACCCAGGTGCCACCCCCTCATCCCCCCACAGATAAAGTGCAGCTGTTTCTCATTGTTTGGCTTCCCTCTGCCATCTTGAGCCTCTCTTCCGGTTTCCGGCAAGTGTAGGTGTGATGTCATGACGCACGTTACTAGGAAACGAGTATCCAAATACAGACATTCATTATACAGATTGCAATAAATAAATCTAAATATAAACTTAGTTTAAACAGATATACCTCAAATATGGAATATATCAAAAACAGGTCATAAGCATAAAATTACAACACAGGAAGCCACATAATCGAAGTTAAATGAAAAGATAAAGATAAAAGAGAATATAATACCCAGTGTGTGAAGAAAAAAGCTGCAAAAGCATAGTGTATGATGTTATACCCATATATACTAGATATGTAATAAAGAAAAAAAACACCTATTACCAATTAGGTACTTGGGTATACAGGTTGCCTAATCCTGTGCATAAAGCTTAGAGTATTAAAGTGCAGGACTATTAATATTCTCGGAAGAAATAAAGCAAAAAAACATAGGAAGGTATTAGTCACTAGAACAAGGCATAAGACATAGGAAGATATATTTTATATTTTTTACATACCCCGCTCCAGGACACTCCAGCCTTCCAGAAGGTGTTTGCTGGAATACATCGTATCCAAGAGCTACATCCAGTGAACCTCTTTCTGTAACAGGATTCTTTCCCTATTACCTCCACGAGGAAGTGGCGCTACTCTTTCCAAAACCTGGTGGCGCAATTGCGATACATTGTGTCGTTTCTGTCTGAAGTGTGCCTCTGACTTGGCACTACATATAGTTGTTTTATGTTGCGACACCTGATCTTAAGTGAGTGTAAGGTTTTGCATACATATTGTAAACCGCACGGACACTTCAGGAGATAAACGACATAATCCATCAAACAAATATGGGGATGTAAATAACCAAATGGCCATATTGTGTTAAGCCCACCACTGCTCTCGAGTACCCTGTAATTGGTGGGTACTACACTAGTTTTAACATGAGAGAGAAACATACTTTTTTTCATGTTTGTGCCGTTTCCTTAATCTGTTTCTTTTTATTATTGTTTTTTAATATTTTGGTCCTTAGAGAGGCACTACTGCTAAAAAAAAAAAGGCATGTTTTGGGTGTGCCCCCCAATCCCTTTTTGTTTGTGTCTATTTGGAATTCATACCAGATTCGTTTTGAGTTGAGCACTTTGCTCCTCCATTTCAGGTGGCCTTCTGGAGATGACCACAGAAAAGCATAAATTTGAGGCGAGTTGATGGAAGCAGATTAAGCAGAAAGTATTGCAGTTAGCATGTTTATCTTGCTTGGTAAAAATAGAGTAGGACCCACCAATATTGCGGGACAGTGATGGGTGGTTGGGTAGTTGTGGGCAATATGGCCATATGAGTGTGTAACTAAATCTCCATATTTTTTGCTCAGGTAGGTAAGTTCCAATAGCCTTGTAAAATTGAAAACTGTATTCTTTTTGTGTGTGTGCTGTTCCATTAATCTGTGGTTAGGATGTATTTTGGACTTTACAGTGGTACCACTGTTAAGAGATGCATGTTCTGGGTGTGCCCCCAATTAGAAACATAGAAACATAGAATGAGACAGCAGATAAGAACCATTCGGCCCATCTAGTCTGCCCAATTTTCTAAATACTTTCATTAGTCTCTTATATCTAAGATAGCCTTATACCTATCCCACGCATGCTTAAACTCCTTTACTGTGCTAACCTCTACCACTTCAGCTGGAAGGCTAATTCCCTTTTTTCTCTTTGATATCCTGCTGGGGATATTGGTTGCCATCATGCCGGCTTCTGAAAGGGGTGACTTCAGTCATTTTGTTCCCATACACACCAGAACCTAGTGCTGTGGTTGCTATATGTGGAAATCTGAAGGATCACCTGCAGGAGGTCTCTTTTGTCAATCACGGCTTTAGCATGGAATCTATGCCAAAGATTATACAGACTGGTGGAAGACAGACCTATTTTTAAATAGGTTTTGCTCCCAATCTTTACATTTGCTTTCAAAACTGTTATGCTCTTAGTTAAAATAAGCATGACAGGTACCTTTTACATTTGAAATTGACTTTGAAACCAAGACAATTCTCATTTTAGCCAATGACACTGTCAGTAGTGAATGAGAGCAAAAGAAAGAGAAACTGAGAAGTGTTTTTGCTGGACCTCATGGAGCACAAAAGAATATGTTGTTTTTTTATTTAATAATAATTTCTTCCATTCAAGGCTATATGTAGTGGATTTAATTACCCCGATGCTTATTGCCCAACGGCTGACACTGAATACAAAATGGAAAGACTTCACAGGAAGCCAGGAACTACGCCATATGCCCTAAACATGCCTACATTCTTAGATGTGGAGAACACACTGAAACTGAAAGAATTTGACACACCACCATTTAATGAGACATCCCTTCTCAGTTTTCGTAATGCCCTGGAAGGTATGTCTAGCCGTCTCCATCATTCATTATATTATTATTATTATTATTTATATAGCACCAACTTATTCCACAGCGTTTTCTAATATTATGAAAGGTGGAAATTTAACAATAATTGAGACAATTGCAAAGTGATACAGGAACAATAGGTAGATGAGGACCCTGTTCCAACGAACTTACACTACATTGATTTGCTTTCTCTGTTTTTGTATTTGTCAGGTTCAGCTCATTGTATCTACTATTTAGTCACTCAGGGATATTTACTAAAGTGAGATTTAAAAACAAAATGAAAGAAATGGAGGGGCTGGGTGGAGAGAGGATGAGACACATGGAGGGGCTGGCAGGAAGGAAAGAGACTCATGGACGGGCTGATGGGGAGAGAGAATGAGACACATGGAGGGGCTGGGGGGAAGGGAATGAGACACATGGGTTAATGAAACACATGGAGGGCCTGGGGGGAATGAGACACATTTAAGGGCTGAGGGGAGTAAAAGAGGCACATGGAAGGGCAGAGGAGGGAGAATGAGACACATGGAGAGGCTGGGGGGAGGGAATGAGACACATAGGGGTACTGGGTTGGAGAAATTAGACACATATAGGGGGTGGGGGGTGGGGGAGGATGAGACATATGTACGAGCTGGAGAGGAATGAGATACATGGTTTAATGAAACACATGGCAGGCCTGGGGAGGAATGAGACATTTAGGGGCTGGGAAAGAGGCACATGGAAGGGGGGAATGAGACGATGAGAAGCTGTGGGAAGAGAATGAGACACATGGAGGGGCTGGGTTGGAGAAATTAGACACATGGAGGCTGGGGAGGGAATGAGACACATAGCTTAATGAAACACATGTAGGACCTGGGGGAATGAGACACATTTAGGGGCTGGGGGAAGGGAAAGAGGCACATGGAAGAGCAGAAGAGGGATGAATGAGACACATGGAGAGGCTGGGGGGAGGGAATGAGACACATGGAGGGGCTGGGGGAAATGAGACACATAGGGGTACTGGGTTGGAGAAATTAGACACATATAGGGGGTGGGGTGGGCTGGGGGGGGAGTGAATGAGACATATGGGTTAATGAAACACATGACGGGCCTGGGGAGAATGAGACATATTTAGGGGCTGGGGAAAGAGGCTCATGGAAGGGCGAGGGGGGGGGAATGAGACGCATGGAGGGGCTGGGTTGGAGAAATTAGACACATGGAGGGCCTGGGGGGAGGGAATGAGACACATAGCTTAATGAAACACATGTAGGACCTGGGGGGAATGAGACACATTTAGGGGCTGGGGGAAGGGAAAGAGGCACATGGAAGAGCAGAAGATATATGGAAAGGGCTGGGGAGAAATGAGACACATAGTGGGGCTGGGTTGGAGAAATTAGACACATGGAGGAGTGGGGTGGAGTGATGAGACACATGGAGAGGCTAGGGGGGAATGAGACACATGGAGGGACCAGGGGGGAGAGCTGACACATGGTGGGGATGGGGGAATGAGACACATGGGGTGCCCCAGGGCAATGTTTGCACTGGAGTGTTGTGGTTTCTAGTTATGCCTTTGGAAATAGGTTATTATTAAAGGGCGACTCTAAGGTTAACGATAAATGTATTTGCAACCTTAATGTGATCTGTATGTTTAGAAATAAAATAAAAATGGTAACACTTCTACAGATAAATTATAAGAGGGCGCTATCATCAAGAGGCACCCATTATAATGACAAAAATCTATATTCTAAATACAAAAGAATGCACAGCAAAATATCTAATCAAACACTTTATTGTACAATCGAATATAATAACAAAAAATAATTACTACACCAAACAGATGATAGAAGCTATAATCAGCAAGAAACAAGTCCAAAAAATGAAAATAACACTCACCTAAAACCTCAGAGGAGTGTACCAATAATACCCCCCAACGTTTCGGCACAAACAAGTATTCCTTACTAAAGGAATAGTGTAACGGCTACCCAGGTAGTGAGAGGGTATCAGTCGTTGGAGACGTCCTTTTCCCGGCAAGCTGCTGTATAGTAATGAAGTTACTTATTCCCATCCACGAGATCCAGGAGTAGAGTCATGCATAGCTGTTAAAAGGAGCAAGATAATTATGCAGTAAATCCCCTTCCAAGAACGAGACGAGGCTACGTTTTGAAGGGTCAAGCAGAACTGGGTTTTAATGACAAGGATTCTCCTTTTATGCAATTCTGCCCATGAAAGGGAGACACCTACATAATTAGTACAGTAACCAATAACAAACATGGTACATCCCACACATCCCCTCCCCTCAGATAAACAGTTAACATAATTAACACACACACATTTTTACCCTAGTTTTGGATGTACCCCAAATACTTGGGGTACACCCATAAATCTAGTATCCCCAATCTGGGGGAACAACATATTAAAAAATCATCCCATTCGGTTAAGGGGTTCAGGAGTTATGGGACTTTGAAGTTTTGACTGACCGCATAGGCACACTAGCCGAAAATAGTTCCATAAGTTTTGCCTTGCGGTCGGTCCTCGTTCGTCCGGTGAAAAGGCACGAAAATCTTGCCATCTGTGAATATCTTGCTGGTCGCTAGAATCCCTGTATGTAGTATATACTATCTACCGAACGGCAGGGCATTCGGTAGTTTCAGCACGAATTTACGGTGTTATGGAGGTTTCAGCAGTGTTCGCCTACTCGAGTGTCCAATTTTAGTTCCAGACACTCAACGGGAAATCACTGCTGTTCGTGCACTGAGATGGCCACGAACACGTGCAAAAGTCCCGAAATGGCGGCCACCTACGAACGGAAACAAAGGATTTGTGCGTTTCTCATACGAATGGTATGTGCCGGTCTGGGAGGTAAAATACTACCTAATTGAATAGCAGGGGGGTCCGGTGTTCGGTAGTTTGTATTCGTATCTATGCCTGCTGAGTCCCTACCATATGGGTCGCATAAATAGATGAATATTGGCAAAAGTCCCGAACTGTGATAAAAATAATCCACATAACCATTGTATGCATAGTCTCGGTCAGTTGTTAAAGGGCCGGTTAGTGATAAATATTCCCAGGCAAAAGGTAAGGTTCTGTTACAGATAGTTTGTTTAGATTCATGCCTCTATCACCCGTAAAAAAATTAATCTAGATTGACTGAATTTATGTTAGAAGAAGTTGCCAGGAGTTTTTGTGCTTCAAACAGACCTTCTTTGATGCGACAAATAGTAGGGCAACTCTTCTATCAAGGAAGATACATCCTAGGGGATCATCTCGTTTTATCAGACAGAAAATGGTCATAAGACCTTAGCCAATTGTCAATGTCACAGCAGATTTGGTGAAAAGTGTCCAACTACTTCCTCATTATCTTCTTTATATGTATTAATCTTTAATCTTTCGTTAGGGTTTATTAAAAGTGCAACATAAGAAAGTACTGTAATTGACAAAATGTATATATGAGAAACAGGACCATTTAGCATCATCACTTCCAAGCATAGCAGTATAACAATAAGAATAGAGAACTTTTCTGTAGGCCCAAGGTTGAGGTCTCACACCAGCATTCTGGAAATCCTCTGGGACATAAAGTTAAACATGGCTGTGAAACAAAAGAACAACAACTGAACCAGGTTTTGCCTTGCTGCCACATACAGTGATTCTAATTTAAACTCACATGTGTAGTGAGACATTAAAACAAATAAATACACTGTCATCATTTCAATGGAGCATTAAGGATAGAGAAAATAAACTTTGCAGAATCTGGGTCAGCAAGCTCCCCAAGCTATAATGGTAAGTAGATTCAAGACTGTTGATCACATTTTTTCCAAAGTCCCTTTAAACAGAGTGCAGAAAATAAAATAGGACTTTGTGAGCAATTCCCAAGCTCCTAGGTCAGAACCAACAGCACTTCAACCCTCCAAAGACCTGACCATTCCTCAGAAACCCACCACAATTCTGCATCCATCCACACCTCCACAGCACCATCAAGATCCCTTAAGGAGGATATAGGGCCTCCACGGTGCCCTCCTCCATGCCAGCCACTCAGCTGGTTCAGGCGATCTGTATCCCCACAGCTTGCAGCACAGGAGACTCACAACTTAAAGCCCCCCTCCTCCCAAACTCAGAGTCAGAGGTTGGTCAAGTCCGCCATAAGAATTGTTGCTGTGTGAAATCAAGGAACTCATTAAAAAGAGTTAAAAAAAGCCTAATTAACTCTCCACTCCATTCTCCTACAATAATGAAGGTGTAAACAGACGATTTGTAACTGTCACTTACGTAGGTTTTCCAAAATGAAATGAAAGAGAGGGGATAAAAAGGAAAATAAACTGCTCAGCAATCAAAAAGTCCATTACATGTATAAGGCAGAACAAACTGCAGAACATAGTGATCAGGATGGGGATGGGGAGGCAGGGCTGATGAGAAATCTAATTTCTTAATTAAGTTTTAAAAAATGCCTTTGGAGATAAGTAAGGACCATGGCAAGAGGTCAGAAAGACAGCATAATATTAAGCAGACAAGCAGATAGTGGGTCCAGGAATTTAGCCATGTGGTGTATACACTGCAAGCTGCAATGTTTCTGTACACCTATGAAGCTGTAACACATAATTCTAATAAAAATACAATTTAGGAGACAACGAGGTAAATAGATTGCTGTTTTGAAAGAAAAAGCAGTTACAAGTCGTCTGAAAGCAGAAATTAAGCATTTTTTAAGTCTCAAGGCTGGAGCTGTTGGTGTTTTCTTCTGGTCAGCTCAACAGCTCAACCTACCCCCCATTTAGTAACCTTTTGACTGTGTGATTTTAGCTATATAATAAATTGAATTTTACATCATAAAATTGAGATGAACTGACCTGAAATTTTGTGAAAATATAGGTCACTAGCTTTTCAAAACTTTGCTAAATTGTCCTTCTCGCAGCACAGAAATAATGGACAGTTTGGCGTGTTAATACATTTAGTCCATTGTTATTTACTTTATTATTACACTGTTTATTTAATATATTTGTTTAAATTCTTATATAGTGCTCTTATCCAGATTGTGGAATATATATGATGTAATCATATAACCATATAACCTGCTGCTTTCACCCTTTAGGCTTTTTGGCACCAGATGGGGTGACCTTAAAGAGGAGTATGCATAATCTGATCCACATATATCTTGGAGGGACAATGTCTCAGATTCCAATATCCAGCAATGATCCAATCTTTATTCTTCACCACAGCTATGTGGACAAGTAAGTTTGGAAATACAGAAATAGTCTGTACTTTTAGTCTGTACGTCAAGCTTTTTCATAGATGTTACATTAGATTTTACCACTTTGTAATCTAAACAAATTAAAAGAATGGGACATGTCAAATAAAGTGGGAGTAGGTAAGAAAGCATTTGTACCACAGGGACAGAAGGAGAGTATATGAACAATAATGGGGAGAGTATCCTGATGGAAAGACTGGGAGTGAACAAAAATAAACAATTAGGAGACTGTCGCGAAATGGACACTTACCAGATACTTTATGGCTGTCCGTACACCACCTGTTATAAAGCTGTCACTTTTCGTGTGTTTTTTCACTGTTATTTCGTGTGGTTCCTCTTTGTCTCCGTTTGGGAGACTTCATACGAATGGAATCCTTTTGTCTCCCGAATGAGGACCACCCCTGTGTCCCATTAGAACGTTGAGACCAACCCCTCAAGTGCGAAAACCGCAAGGGGAACAATTACTAATGCTTCCCCTGGGTGGCCGGCATTTCACATAACCGAACACGTGGCAGAGAGTATGGCAGCCATGAACGTGGGCAGCGGTAGTTGGTCGTCGAGTGCCTGGAACTCTTTTTGGCTAGGCACTTGCGCGAACGCCGGTAAACCTTAGACCGCTGCCCGTTCCATTTCCCAACAATCTACACAAACTATGTTCAGGAGATATGAACTACCGAACAGGGGGAGCATTCATATCCTGGAATAAAGAGATTCCCCTGTATGGTGTTCACACAAGAACCACACAAACAAAGACCGGCCAGGGCACCAATTTCCGTGGAACTGTTTTCGGCTAGCACCTCGTGCCTGGCCAGTCAAAACTTTGACACATTGCCATTCCTGTTCTACCAAAACGATCTGAGTGATTCTTATGTTGGTCACTCACATCGGGGCTATTGGGGAATGTACTTTTCGTGGGGTTCTGGGGTATGGTTGAGGTACTTTTGGGGTACAGGCTATTTTGTAGATTTTCTATACCTGAGAGATAATTAAATTAGAGGAGTTTTCTCAGGCAATTATAACTCAGGCACAGATGATTCTGGGATTGAAACCCCTGCATTTCTTTTGTGTGAGCCCCTTTGCATGGGATTTGGCACAAAAGCCGTGTATGTGACAATAAAATTCAGTTATACCCCCAGAGCTGTGTGTCGTTCAGTTGCTGGGGAGGAGGTGGGATATTCTTGGATTATATTGCTTGTTCCTGACTGTATTTTGGTGTACCAGCGGAGGATAGCCCCTGTTAGGACCAGGGCTCCGCTACAGAGACATATGGAGAGAGGAACAATGGAGAAGAGTTCAGGGTTAGCTGTGAGTAAGAAGAGGAGTATGAGAAAAATGGAAGAAAGTAATATTGGAGAATATTGCACAAGAGAGAACAAGAGATAATGAAGGAAGAGAGTGAATTGGATGGAGAAAAGAGAACAGAAAAGGTGTGAATAGTGAAAGAGAGAAAATTATGGGTGTGGAGTTTGGATGAGAGGGGAGAGCTAAGAACAATGATTGAAAAGTGGCAACGGAAATAAAAGGTGAAAGAGAGCATGGCAAAACTAAGGATGGTGTACCTTAAAGGAGCAGAGGTGGGAAAGGTCCTCCAGGTTGCCCCCAGACATGAATTGATGCCATGTTCTGTCGCTGTGTCCTTTTATCACTAGTCTTGCCCACATAAATTTTGGAGCCACAGCTGTCCACATTAACTCTGTGACTTATACTGCACATATTCTGGTGTCTACATTTTACACAGACTAATGAAAATCAACTACAGAGTATTTAAGACTACTCCTCTGTTTTCATATTGCCCTGGAGTGTGTGTTTTTTTTCTAAATTCTTCTTTTGGTATCAACATTGGTTGTGTATGGTTTCTCAGAATCCTGTTACCCTTGACTTTAACTACTGTTACCCTTGACCTTTGCTAGTTCTACATGTGTTTGTATTTCTGTGTTCTTGGTTTGTTCCTTAGACTACTCTGTGTCTGTCCTCTGACTGTTTTATTGGGCATTCTAAAAACTTGCAATATGTTTTAAATATTGTTTGTTCTAGGTTTGTATCAATGGTGAAGAATGGTAGAAGGGTGGGAATGATGTGGTAGAGATCTGATGAGTTTGAATGGTGGAATATAGTGGTAGAAGCATGGGAATGATATGGGAGAGAATTGAAGAGTGTGAATGTTGGAATAGAATGCTAGAAGGTGGAAATTATTTGGAAGAGAACTGAAGAATGAATAGTGTAAATGAATGCTAGAAGGGTGGGGTTATGTGGGATAATGGGCTGAAGAATTTAATGGTGGAATATGTGAGGATATTTATGGGGATTGATTATTATTAATTAATTTTTATTAATTAAAAATAATATTTTCATAAAAATAATTACATTTAATAATCTTTAATAAAATATCAGAGGTTGAAATGTTATTGGCGCTATTCCCAATTATTACTTTAAAAGCAAAGAGTTATTCACTGTTTTTAACTCTTAGACCCTGAGCACGTTGTTCGAATTTAATTTTTCATACATTAATATCACAACTTTTTATCAAAATTATATTTATTTGTCAATAGGCTGTCAATAGGTGTAAACATGCATGATAATTAGTGATCAGTTTTCAATAACATTGAACAAATTATGGCATTGTATAGTATCTCAATCACAGTAAAGCAATTTCAAACTCTGTTAGACTGATGGGATTGTTAGTCTACGACAATTTCAATCAACAGGGTTAGCATATGGAATATTTTACTCATGTACAATTGATTGAGACAATCAGCAAATAGCGTGTCACTATTTGTTAAATCATAAAGTACCATATGAATTATCAACATATGGATTATGGACAGATTTTCAGAATCTTAAGAAATACAATCTTAGTTTTACTCTTGGTTAGATTTTCAATCACGTGTGGATTGTTTTCCTATTGTAATTACCATTCCATTAGACTTAGATGGACATAGTTAATAATTTATGTTTTATCAGCTAGCCATATAATTTTAACCAGTTCAGTGCTGACAAGTCAGTTTCAGCTTTTAACTCGCACAGAATTTTAACTGGCTCACTGCGGTTTCACAGAGTAATTAATTATGATTAATTATTCCATCCAGTAACTAAATTCTTGCAGGTTTAGTTAAATCAATTATTTATCTGATAAATATTTCTTAGTCTGTTATCTGATTAATATTAATCTGGGTAACTCTTGATATCCTACCTTTACTTCATTATATCAATTTGTCTTCCAGTCTGCAGTTAGAGATACAAATTTTGATCATGAAACTAAATCTGGAGGATTCTGATAATTTTTTACCCAGAAAAATACAAACTTTTAGATATATGATTTTATAATTAATATAATTTGCTTATATTTACCGATATATGTTCTGGATGTCTCTGGAGCAGATTGATTTAGAGTTAGTGAATTATAGTTAAAAGTTCTGGATTTGGAAGTGTTTCCAAGAATAGAGCATAGATAGAAATTCTAAAGCATTTTTCCCTTGCAAAGAGATAACAGTGGTTAAGTTTACAGATGAAGCAAAGAGTAAGAAGGCAGTTCTTTAGGTGTTATTTTCAAGATTATTTCAACATGGGATTTCAAGAGATCGTCCGAGCCCTCCTCCTCTAATCCTTTTTTTTATCCCTATATCATGGGGTTATCGGTCTTTCTTTATCTGTTAATCTTCTGACCTGGTCCAATGGAAATCTTGGGGCAAGTCTTATGTTAATGGCCGTTGATGTCATTTTGACATACATTTCTAAATGTTTCAAACAGCAGGTGGAGCTGTTTGCTTACGTCAGGAATATTACCAGCTATTATCATATGTAAGATCAACTTTTGTTCAGGACAACAAGTAGGAATGTTTTAATTTCAAGACTTTTTAGTCAGTGTTTGTTTTTCGTTTCTCAATTTGGACTTTGGTACCTCAAACCAATTTGTCCTTGCTTACTTAAGTGTTATTCTATATCCATCTTTTAAGAGTGTCATATTTAATCTATGTATAGGTAATTACATATATATATGTATATATATATATATATATATATATATATATATATATATATATATATATATATATATATATATATATATATATGTTTCTATTTATGTATATGTTGCTAACTAAGAATATATGACATTATATTACTATTTTGTATATAAATATAAACCAATAGACCACCCAAGTCCAAGTTCTAGGTGGTAACAAAAGGATTCCTCAAATCCTTAAATGCAAATATAAAATCCAAGATACACCTAAAAACAAAACCAGAGACAGAAAACACTCATAGGGAAGCACCTTAAAACAAGGTAGCCCTACTGATAATATTGCACTCACAAAATATATGCATTTTTCAGGTCCATCAATGTCACTTTAAGGTCTCTGCAGTGGATAGTCTCAATTCCCAAGGGTACATGCAAGGAAAGAGGAACTGGACGTAGTACGGCAAAGCTTTAAAATATAAAATGACACGCTTTAATTAAATCCACTTACAAGAAGTAAGAAGTAAAAACGCCCATCAATAAATCTCTGTATCCCTCTATCCAAGATGGTATGCAATAGAGATGGTTTACAGGAATAGCAGGCAGTAGTTTAAAACAGCTCAATGCATTTCATCTACTAAGTAGATTAACAAATACTTGTCTTATCTTTGTTGACACAGATGTATTTACTCACTGTCTGGCTCTTTATGCCATTATTCAAGTTTTAGTTTTATCCCACAATATATAGGTATTTCCTTTCCTACACAATATCTCTGACATAACCCCCTTTGTTAGAGTGTCATAGCAATGATTAACTAAGCTCATGTATACTCAAATATTGGACCTATAAAAGACATTGTGTGCTCATAGCGTATTTTCTGGTTGTGGATTTTGTCGTACATAATGAACAGTATTATACAGTGAAGTACCTGTAACAGATTTGAATCTTACACCTAATACAATCAACCATATTATCATAATTGCCATAGTTAACCCAATAACAATTTTAACATGGTTAAACCAGTCAACACGAGAGATAATGTCAGTATCATGATGTCAGTATTTAAATGTATTTACAAGAATATTGTCTTTTCTGATCGACATTTGGATAGTATGATTGGGCTTATGATCTAGCAGGAATTTCAGATTTGGGTCCATCGGGATTTCCAAACCTTAAAAAGGATCCACTAATTCTACTGTACCCTTGGTAATATCAGCATAAACTGGGTATAGCGTGACATCACCCATAGTGATACGGAAGCCTGGTGGTACCTTGATCAATGATACAAGGGCTGATAAGGCTATTACTTTACTGGTCGCCTGGTCCATGCGAAAAACACTCATGTTGTTAAGACAAGTGCTAACCAACCATTTATCTTTGACTAATATATTATCATTATTATTATTATGTTATTATTTATATAGCGCCAACAAATTCTGCAGCGCTTTACAGTGGGTGGACGAACAAACACGTAGTTGTAACCAGACAAGTTGGACACATAGGAACCGAGGGGTTGAGGGCCATGCTCAATGAGCTTAATTGCTAGAGTGAGTGGGGTAGTGATACAAAATACTTATTTGTGTAAAGTGACACAAATTAGACTAATTAATAGTATTAGACTAATGACAGTTGCAAGAGAGGAATCAGTCGGGAGCTATTAACAGTTTAATTGATACGCTTTTATGAAGAAGTGGGTTTTTAATGATTTTTTTGAAGGAGTGGAGACTGGGTGAGCATCTAACGGAGGAGGGAAGTGAGTTCCACAGGAACGGTGCAGCCCTCAAGAAGTCTTGAAGGCCAGCATCAGAGGTGGGAGTACGGACAGAAAATAGACGTAAGTCTTCAGCAGAGCGGAAGGGCCTAGACAGGCCATATTTGTGTATTAGGGAGGATAGATAGGTGGCAGCAGCAGGGACATTTTAGCTGTGAGGCAAACAAGGCATTTGCCTTGGGCGGCATTTTCCATGGAGCGGCAAAAAAAGCCGCCCCCAAATGCCCATGGCAAATGTCTTGTTAGTCTTGCGGCTAACTGACATTCCAGACAGGCTGCTGGGCAGGCAGCACTGGCTGGCGGGCGGGTGGCTGGCGAGGGAGCACTTCCTCTGAGCTGTCTGCTCAGCTCCCTAGCGCGCCGCCAGCAGAGTGAAGCTGGGAGCCGGAATATAACGTCATATTCCGGCTCCCAGCCTCACTCTGCGGGCGGCACATAAGGGAGCTGAGCAGACAGCTCAGAGGAAGTGCTCCCTCGCCAGCCGCCTGCCCGCCAGTGCTGCCCGCCCAGCAGCCACTGGACCCCCAGGGAGAAAGAGAACCCCCCAGCATTCCCAAAGGTAAGGAGGCTGGGGGGTTAAATAAAAAAAAGTGTTAATGTGAGTGAGTGTGTGTGTGTTTGTTAGTGTGTGTGTCTGTTAGCGTGTTTGTCTGTTAGTGTGTGTGTGTGTGTGTGTGTGTCTGTTAGTGTGTGTGTGTCTGTTAGTGAGTGTGTGTCTGTTAGTGAGTGAGGTGTGTCTGTTAGTGTAACTGTGTGTGTCTGACTGTGTGTCTGTGTGTGTGTCTGTTAGTGTGAGTGTGTTTGCCTGTAAGTGTGTGTGTGTCTGTTAGTGAGTGTGTGTGTTTGCTAGTGAGTGTGTGTCTATTAGTGTGTGTGTTTTTTTCTGTTAGCGAGTGTGTGTTTCTGTTAGTTAGTGTATTTAGAAGGTGGGTACCAGATTGGTATTCGATACCCATTTTGAATGACTGTGTAAAGTTCAAAGACAATAACATCCAATGCGAAGGAAAACCTTTGCTCTGTGCAAAATCGAGTACATTAAACATGGCTCTGAAACATGTCAAGTAACTATGTCAAAATCCAATGACAATGCCTTAGTACATGCTATATGCTCGCTGCCTAGGTGCTCTCTTTGACTCCGACCTCTCCTTCACACCTCATGTTCTGGTACCCATGGTTGGAAAGCCAAAACATTAGGGGTTTGAGCTTTAACGTGGATAACCTTCTTCCATGTACCGACATTATAAATTTGAAAAAAATTTCTAGGTGTGACATTTGGAATGGCCAATAAAAAGCAAACCTCCATGCGTTCAGAGTCAATTAAGAGAGGGAGAGCACTTCCCATCAAGTTTAGTTGCAAGGTTTCAATTGTTTCCCCATCCACATTAGCAAGCATCACATGAATTATATCCTTGGATACAAAATACAGAGGTATGCGTCCCCCTGCCAATTCACTCATTGCGGTTTGCACTTTGTCGATGAAAGCATGTGTGTGGAACAGGACTGGGTCATGCATGAAAAGCAGTTCACATTTAAACAAATCGTGATTTAGGTGCAACTCAGTGGACTTAGCAATTCATTTTAAATGCAAATTGGTTGTAACAACTGTGTTTTCCACAATGGTTAAAATCATTCAAAGAAGTTATTTTTGTTGGTGTATTGCCTGATGAATATCATTAATGTGTTGTTTGAGTGCAAAGATTTCCATATCCAGTGTTTGCACTGTGATAGAATTTGGTGCACCAACGGTGGAACAAACCAAAACAACAATGATTGCTGCAAGGAACCTTTTAGGTCAGTTATTCGTTGAAAAAGAACTGGATACAAAAGGTTTCCGAACTTGCTCGAAGATGTTTCTCACACGGTCCTGTGCTCTTTGGAGGTGCATCTGGTACCAGGCTTGTAACTCAGGAAGCTGTATTGATGAAACATTGTACGCCTTCTCAATAGAAATCTTTGGTTCCAGGCTGACAAACACACGCTGGGTCAGGATCCTTTTCTCGGTCAAGATAAATCCTGGAGTCTCCTGGATCAGGATTCCAGAGGGTGGTCCTCTCTGTGCGATCGGATTAGTCCGTAGCTCTCAGCACAGGAGCAGTATGATCCAGAAACATGCCACATCCTTCTTAGTCATTGTGGAGAAACCGACCTCGCCACTGGGCATTGGAGAAGACTGATTGCCAGCCTCCTGCCATGTGACCATGGCCCCTGGGATGTATTGTCCTTTAAATACATGATTTGGCCATAATGGATTTGTGTTGTGCTGCTTTTTCGCAGAGAAAGGATTTGTACTTTTAAACTGGCACTTCAGATGCATTTGAAGTGCTGAAGTAGTCGAAGTGGCCGCCATTCGAAAACAGAACACGTGGCGGAGGCCATTTTAATGTAGTTGAACGCAGTCAGCGGTGCCTGCCACTGAATCTATGGAACTAAAATCGGCTACACATTCACATGAACATCGCGATCCATTACCTTCTCAGGAACTTCGACGCTTCGACTGGAATCGAAGTGCGTTCGACAATTCGAACGCACTGTTAGACTGGGCTAGTTGCCCGAATGGCCACGTTCGTGAATTCGAATGGGACTTAGACATTTTTCTGTGTGAAATTGACCGAACGCACAGCCCAAATCTATGGTTCTCTTTTGGGCATGAAAATGTGCTTGTGGTCGGTCAAGATGCAGAAGTTCCTTAACTTTTTAACCCCTGAACCGATTGCCCTGATTTTTGAGTATGTGTATATTTCAAGCATGGTGATTCTGAAAATGCATGTTTTATGTGAATGGCATGTATATTTGGGAAGTTATTAATATTTTGTAAAAACTGTATTTCTCTGCCTGTGATAATTATATTAACCATTGTGTTCAGTAATCATATCACAGGCAGAGGGGAGGATTTTGTGTGGGAGTGTCTGTGTGTATTGTATGGATTGATTGGTTGTATTTCAAAACCCTGTGGGCAGTACTATGTTTGTGGATTGTGAATAAAAGAGGCTGTATGTGCCAGTACAGTCAGTTCTACTTCACCCTCAATTTGGAGTCCTGTCTGTTATTGGGGGAATCTGCTACAAGAGATTGCTATGCTCTGCATATTCCCTTGCTATAATCACTCCTAAGCTCTTTTAAGAACTCGTTCCTGCTTCGCTCTGAAGGAAGAGAGGTTTGGCCTGTGGTGGTTGTGGTGTCGGCTAGAGTGCTTGGAATCCTCAAGAAGCGCTAGGAGCATCCATCAATGGAGGTACCCAGTCGGGGTGCCAGGTGATCCATTACAGTCATCTTCAGACAGGCACGGATCAGGAACACGTCTTAGACTTATCTACTAATGATTCAATCCTTAGTTGAGATTTAGGATGAAAAGCACACAACTGGTTAATGTTTTTAATAAAATTTTCAATAAAATAACAATCTTTAGGAATTTTTATCTTATATGCTACTGGGAAGATTTTATCAGTAATGACATATGGTCCCTCCCCAAGAAGGTAAAAATGTATCCTTGGTCTGTTTTTGTGCAAAGTTGTACAGATAAACTTGATCTGTAATCTCATATTCCTTTTTAGTGTTTTTTAAATCGTAATAGGTCTTAAACCCTGTTGCAGCTTTTTCGAGATTCTTTTGTGCAAAAGCAAATGCATGCTATAAATGCTTGCCCGATTTATCAATTTATTGATGTGTAATGGCAGCGTTAATCAAATTATGATCTTATGTGCATTATAGCAAATGTTGTGGTAAAACCATTTTTCTTCCGATCATTAATTCAAAAGGTGACAATTTGGTAGCAGTGCTAGGTGCAGCTCTAATCACAATTAAAACTAAGGGCAATTTAATGTCCCAGTCTTTCCTAGACTTTTTAACATACTTTCTAAGAATGTTAACGATTGACTGGTTATATCGCTCGCGGTTAAGTGACGTTTGTGAACCGACCGGGAACCACGAGGTTTTCATGTCAAAAATAGTTCCAGGGCATTCACGGCTAAGTCTCCCTGAAGTCTATTCGCGGTTTTGGTCCATGCGAACAAGATGGCCGCCACCTCGTGGTCGAATGGCACTTCAAATGGCTTCGGGAGCTCAAGGTGCCGCTTCAAAAGTTCGAATTGTGGCCATACAAATATAAAAAGGCACACACAGTGGTTTTAACCAGGATTTAACACAGGGGCATAGTCACAGGGCAAGAGGCTGGCAAATATACCCCTCCAAGAACCCGTGACGAGGTCCAGTTCGTCACAGATTCCTTTAAATGTTTGTTTTCTGTTGCCACACCCGTTCCTTTGCCATTTATCCTTATTGTTTAAGTTTGTTCCTGCAAGCAGTGGTTTCATTCAATCTCCCGACCGGGATCCATGAATGGCTCCAAACTCCCGAACGGCAATACACGAACTGCTGCTAGCCGCCGAACAATAACATCCACCAAGCGGCTTTCGTTTCCATCCAGCAGTCTCTAAACCTGAATAAGAAATCCTCCCAATAATGAGACAGAAGCTCCGCATTGAGGGTCAAACAGGATCTGGCTTTACTGTTGGCTACCTGCCCGTATTTATGCAGGTCTCCCACTTGGTGGACACTCCCCTAGGGGACCAAATGGGAGACTTAAATGACAGACAGATATGGGGACATTCCAGACACATAGACACAGTTTTTACCCACAATGCACTATGATTCCCTCCCCTCTGCCCTGGAGATAATTACCAAGTAACTCAATTATCTCCAGGACAAAGCCAGTCGCCATTTTAAATATAAAATCATAAAAGACATAAAAATACATAACTTTAAAATAACTGAACATTTCCCGTTCGTATCACATATCCCCAGATAGCCTGGATCTGAGTGCATATTATTAGCGAATAACGCTCAGATCCCACACACATAGTTCAATCGCCATGGAGTCAAAGTTCTTACAGTCTTTCGGTATACGAATGACTCCATGGGAAGGTTATCTGGGTTAAGTCATTTCATATGCTTCAAACCTCCCGAACGGCCGGTATTCTTATGCTTTCGTGGAGGCAGCCAGGTGTTCCCTTGTTTCAGCGGTGTTCGGCAGAAAAAGTGTCCGCTTTTAGTTCCATAGAAATAGAGCCAAACACCGCTGGGCTTTCGCGTGGTTTAAAATGGCCGCTGCCTCGTGGTTGACATACGAACGACGACCACCCTGAATTTGTTTAATTGAGAAGTGTCTGCGGTTAACCACAACGTTCTAATTGGGATCACACTTCTCTCTTGGGTGGCCGTCCGTTCGGTAGGTTTGTTCGGGAAAAAACAGTCATTCGTATGGCTGGGCTATAGAAACAGCCATTTACACGAAAGGGGACAGAAATAGACGAATCCACCACAATAGGCAGGCAGATGGTTCTGTCACAGAGAGATTATCAGCTCTAATTCTTTCACTCTGCAGACACTGTAGAGGTTGGTGAGCAGTTTCTACAATAATCTTCTCACCTTGGATATAGCTACGAAAATTTTGTAGTGCCCTAACAGTTGACAATAACTCCTTCTCACACGTGTTGAATTTAACTTCAACAGGTGACAAAGTCTTGCTAGCATATGTAATAACTTTGTTTAGACTGCCCTGCTTAAATCAGTGTATCCTGTCTCCAGATAGAAGGGTTTACGCCCCTCTGGGTATGCTAAACAGGGTTCCTGAGTGAGCTTCCTCCTCAGTTCACTTACCACTTAGTCCTGAGGCTCCCCCCAGTTCCAGGTAGTTTCCTTTTTAAGCAGGTGTAAGAGTGGTTTTGTTATTTCTGCATTGTTATCTATAAACTTACGGGAGTAGTTAGTCATACCAAGGAATGATCATAATTCCCTGATGTTAGTTGGTGTTTTATCCTTTAGTACAGCTTCAACCTTCTTCTGGGGATTTAATCCTTCATAAGTTACTTCATGTCCGAGGAAATTGACTTGGGTGCGGCACCATTGTTCCTTTTGTAATGACAATTTTATTCCTGCTTTTCTTAGCTGATTGATAACATGTCTAATCTCTATGATCTGAGTGTTTTCAGCAAGACATTGTCTATGTATGATAACGTTCCTCTCTCAAGTGTGTCAGGCATAGCTTTATGCATGAACACAGCGAATTCATGACTAGAGTTTATGTAACCGAAAAGCAAATGGGTCCAGGTATACTGCTTTCCAAATGTGAAGGCCAGTTTGTATTGGTCTTCATCATGGACTAGTACAGTCCAAAATCACTGTGCACAGTCAATGGCAGTGAATATTTTAAATCCCTGCATCTGAACCAACCATTTGTCTATGTATGGCACTGGCCAACCAGATGTATAGACATAAGTCTTAAGTCAGCGCATAAACACCATTGTCCATTAGGTTTCAGAATTCCCAGGATTGGATTATTATATGAACTGTGCACCGGACATACAGTGCCCCTTTCCTTTAAATTCTGAATGATGTCTTGTAGACCATCGTATGAAGCTAATGGTAATCTATATTATTTGATGAATACATGTGGTAATTTTGGGTCAGTTTGTATTCTGGCTATGTGGAGGTTAGTTAACCCACAGTCGTTTTGCGAAAATATCCTGGAATTCCATAAGGACTTCCATTAACTGTTGCCGCTCAGCATCGTTGGAGCAACCATCAGCTAAAGATATTTGCTCTTCTAGCCTTTCCTGAAATCCTGGAAAGATTTCAGGCTGACCTATCATAAGCTTCTTCAAGCCTAAAAGTTAGGTCAGTTCGGTGTCAACTTGCTTTTTGTGTTTGGTCGCGATATTCTTGTGATTCCTGCTCATTGAGCGGATGATTGATGCATCTTTGATTTTACATAAGCCTTCTTCGATGTTAAAGGGATATACAGATAGGATGGTGAATAATCCTTCTGGGTAGGATAATAATTTGATCAACAACTTCGTCAACAATTTCGTCCTCAGTTCAGTACTCTTCAGGGATGAGGACTATAATTTGGTTTTGGAAACCAAATATATAGTACTCATCATCCAATACTAGACCTAATAACTTTCCTTTTGGTAAAGTAACACTATTGGGTGTAACATTGTTGACAATAACATAGGTGGTATTCATGGGCGTGCACAGCCTATTGCATAAGGGTGTGCACCCTAAAGCACAAACACACACGCCACGTATTTATATATATATATATATATTTTATTTTTTTTAAATATATATATATATATATATATACACACACACACACACACACATACACTGCTGTGTGTGTTAGGGTGCTGTGTGTGTGAGGGCACTGTGTGTGTAAGGGTGCTGTGTGTGTGAGGGAGCTGTTTGTGTGAGGGAGCTGTGTGTGAGGGTGCTGTGTCGTGTGTGTGTTTGTGAGGGTGGTGTGTGTGTGTTAGGGTGCTGTGTGTGTGTAAGGGTGCAGTATGTGTGGGAGGGTGCTATGTGTGTGAGGGAGCTGTTTGTGTGAGGGAGTTGTGTGTGTGTGTGGGTGCTGTTAGTGTGTGTGTGCTTTATCCATCTCCTGCTGCAAAACAAGGGAAGGTGCCCCCTTTGGGAAACCCAGGCTTACAATCCAGAGCCAGGTCTTCTTGGCTCTCAAAAATGTGAGCAAAACCATCATCACTTTTTGCTACTTCTAGATATTAAAAACGTAATACACTAGAGATTTTTTCTCCCCTTTATTTCATCCTTTGAAAAAACATACCCCGGCAAAAGAGTGCAGTGTCACCAATGACACTATCACTGATTTGATTTGAGCCTGTTCCCTAGGGACTCTCATCAATGTGAATTGAAATACTTACAATTAAGTTCTGTGTGCATACCATCTTTTGTGGAATTACATTATATTGTTTTATTCTATGTCTCCCTATATTTATTGATTGTACATTCAAGCGTCACTCCCTATTTTAGGGTAAGTGTATATTTTTATGTTTTGCACAGCGCTCCACTCATCCAATTAGGTATAATACTCACATCTTACTGATTCACTCTGTTCACTAGTATCAACCTGTTTGCTTATTTCTTTGTTTATTCTTTGATACTTATCAGAGCAACTCTTTTATAAGTAATTTTGTTACTCCATCATGTTCTGCTTGTTAAGCATTAGCTAGTTTTGATATAAATGCTATTGGTAAATAATAAGTGGTAAGTTGCTGGATACCGATTGTCACTGGGTGGAGATGTTTGAACTCATATTTAAAATGTCTTTACAGGATATTTGAACAATGGATAGCCAAATACAATGCATCCCCAAGTACATATCCTGAAAACAATGAATTGGGACAGTCCCCGACTGATTGTATCATTCCATTTTTTCCATGTTACCAAAATAAAGATTTCATCCGCAAATCAACAGAATTTGGCTATCTGTATTCTGTTTATAATGACAAGGAGTGATGGAGTAAGGAACGTGATATCCATTAATCAAGAAACTCAGGCTAGAGGCAGCAGGTCTCATCAAGAAATTATTTTCTCTAGAACATCTAAATGGGACAAAGTCACAATGTTTCAAGAAGAATGTGTGTAAAGTGTCATTTCTGTACTGCCTGTCCTGTTTCTTTCATATTGTTGTGTTAGTTGTGTTTTCAGTATCCAGGTTTAAAACAGATATACATTAAGTAGATAATTTGTGAATTACTGGTTTCTATGTGTGGCTGCAAAACATTGGATAGACATCTGGGAAAACTGTTCCTTTTCTTTTCATCATGTCCCTTTTTTCAATGTGAGCACATTTCATGGGAACGTAGGTAAATTCAGAGCTCACATTAAATGGATTGTACTTGCGATGAAACAAAATTAACATCAAAGTTTAACCACCGTGCTTCTAAAATTCAGTCCCACAAGACAGTGTGCTTCACTCGTAAACATTTCTATGAAAATAAAATTTCACAATTTCACAATTTGAGGAGCAGTTTGCATTCTTTTGTCAGAAATTAAAAAAAAGGTAATCAATATTTTTAGGTAAATGTCAATGTGATGCTTTTCTATTATATCATAAAATGACTGCAGGGTGGAAGCAAGCTATACATACTGAACACCTTATTATAGTTTACAGTTTATTATATACATAGTTACATAGTTATATAGCTATTCCAATTGTGCAACAAACTAGGAAAAAAATCCTTCATGACCCCAGAATGGCAGTTGGATATCTCATCGGATCAAGAAACAAATTAAAATTTATATCCCTGTATATTATGTTTTTGCAAGTATTTATCCAATTGCTGTTTAAACATCTGTATAGACTCTGATAAAACCGCATCTTGAGGCAGAAAATTCAAAATCCTTATTGTTCATACTTACCCTTTCCTTTGCCTTAGACTAAATCTCCTTTCTTCCAGTTTAAATGCGTGACCTTGTTTATTAATACATTTCCTATTTATTAATACATTTCCAGATAATGGCTTGTATTGGCCCCAAATATATTTGTATAATGCTATCATATCTCCTCTGAGGCACCATTTTTCCAAACTAAAGAGATTGAATTCTGGGATACAATATTAGCACATGAACAAAACCCCAAAACCTCTCAACATGTCTATTAAAAAAGAGACATGTTCACCAAACATTGAAAGTTTGCTCCTGGTTGCCTACAACTTTTGTTGATAAACGCAATGTTGTGGGGAATATTATCTATTTGGCAGCCAGAGTCAAGTTGCCACCGTGTCAAAGGTTTGTAGGCTTTCCCTTTTAAACAATACATTGAAAATTAAGGGTTATTCACTAAAGTAAGATTTGCCAGGAATTGAAAGTAGTCTAGATGATTTTTTTTCTAATTTGGCTGGGTGATGGAACGCTGGCATTCCGACCGAGTACCTCCGCCAATCGATGCTCCTAGTACTTGCCGAGGACTCCAAGCACTCCAACCGACACCATCAGCACTGCAGACCCCACTTCCAGCAATGCAGCTGCGCCGGGGTCTCGCCGTCTTTCACCCACCCTGGACCCAAGGCCAGGATCCAGCTTCCAGTGGCTATATCCACAGAGCAGGAACCAGGAACAAGCTCTTACAAGAGCTTATACTCAGGGGAGTATTGTGATATAGCAATCCTCAAGAGTGTAGTTATTGCATCCCCCAAGCATGAGCCAAGGCTTCAAAAAAGAGTCAAGTAGTTCTGTAATGAAAGCAAGCACTTACAATTTATACAATTCCCCAGGCCAGAGGCACACCCCCTGGACCTGATGGTACACAGGCATACAAAGGACACAAACCAATCAAAACAATACAACAATGTCTGACACTCCCATTCATTACAGTCAAATCCTCCCCTCTACCTGGGATATAATAACTAGACTTGGGCATTTCAGAAATTTTCGTTTCGAACAAATGTCAATTCTTTCGTACAAATGTCAATTCTTTCATTCGTTTTCGTACGATATTCGTTAGTATTTTCATTTCGGCTAAACTTGTTCATTCATTCAGCGTGATTTAATTGAACCAAATGAATTGAATACATAAAACTATGTTCCCTAATCCCTAAATACCGAATAGCTTCAACCGAACTCAATAAAATCATTTGTTTCAAATTTTGTACATTGATCTAACAACATGGCATTGAATGCTGTATTTCGTTTAATTTACACCTAAAACTCCAGAAATAACTCCTGAACCGTCAAATGCACGAACGCTGACATTCGCATGAAAATGTATTGGCGCTATTAGTAAACTACCGAACACCACTCACTATAGTCATTCGTATGTCGAATGGCATTGCAAATACAATGCAATCATAAAAGTCAGTTCCCTAATCCCTAAATAACGAATAGCCTCAAGTGAACGCAGTAAAACCATTCATTCGTTTAAATTTTCGTACATTGATCTCACAACACATGGCATTGAACAATGTTTTAATCTATTTACGCCTAAAACTCCCGAACTAATTCCCAAACCGTCAAATGCACGAACGCTGCCATTTGCATGAAAATGTATTGGCACTATTAGTAAACTACCGAACACCACTTACTATAGTCATTCGCATGTCGAATGACATTGCAAATGCAGTGCATTGCTTTTGCTTAGTTTCTTGGGCTCATGAATCATCATGCTTCCCTGACAGGTGGTACTGGCAACACAGTATAATTTTATAAGTGAGTGGGAAAGTAGTAGCCAATTAAATAGGCTTTTACATACTGCCAGACAAAACTGTAAAAAAAAAAAAAGTATCAACTCAAGGCAGTCCTTCAATGCAAAATCTATCCAGATTTTCTATAGGCCAGCCATTCAGCCATTTTGGACCTCAGCCAGCCCACCACCCTGTCAGCCATTTTAGACACTTTGATGCTGAGCCTGCCAGAAGTGGTTATGTCATCCTCCAGCTCCTCAAATGACATACCCATGGATATAGTGGAGGGGGCATTGGCCACTCTGGCCAGGAGGTAGGAGAAGCAAGTGGGAGATGCAAGCAGAAGCAAAGACAGCCCAGGATCTTAAAAGGAGCAGATCCTGGGAGGAAGAATAAGTACCCTGATAGGTTTCTTGCAGAGGAGAATACAGTACTGGTAAACAAGCTTTGCCAGTACTACCAATGTATGTTTGGGGGAGCAGCCAAAAAGACTTCAAGAGCAAAGAAGGTGGAGGAAGATTGTGGCAGTGGTGAATGCTGTTGGCGGAACAACCGCACCGAGGACGTGGTGAAGAAACGGTAAGTGCACTTATATTCCTAAAAAATTATTTTCTTTATGCCATGTTTTTTTCAAACTTATTTTTTTTCCTCCATGTGCTTTTGCTACACCCTCCCACCATTGGCAGCTATGCTTTTAAAGTCTTTTAAAAGTGAGGGTTGGGTCACTTAAGCACATAGAGGGAAAAAAACACCACATGCAGCTCAGCTTTAAAGGAACACTATAGTGACAGGAATACATTCGCATTCCTGTCACTATAACTGTGAAAACAAAGTTTAACCTCCCTCTCAGCAATGTAACTGTAATTAAAGGGACACTCCAGTGCCAGGAGAACAAACCATTTTCCTGGCACTGCAGGTCCCTCTCCCTCCCATCCCCCATCCCAGGGGGAGACCAATTGCGCATGCGCTGCCACCGGCGGGGTGAGACCTAATGTGCATGCGCGGCAATGCTGCACATGCGCATTAGACCTCCCCATAGGAAAGCATTGAAAAATGCTTTCCTATGGGGGTTTCAGCGACGCCACTAGAGGAGGAGTTAACCCTGCAAGGTAAATATTGCAGTTTATGAAAACTGCAATATTTATTTACAGTTGCAGGGTTAAGGGTAGTGGGAGTTGGCACCCAGACCACTCCAATGGGCAGAAGTGGTCTGGGTGCCTGGAGTGTCCCTTTAATTACTCATGCTTATAGCAGAGCTGTGCTCTGCCTCCTTGGTTGCGATCTTCATAATTGACAAGATCAGCAAATCCAATGCTTTCCCATAGGAAAGCATTGGGAGGCTGTCATGTTGCAAAACACAGCTGTTCTATCAGATATCTATATCTATCAGATTTCTATATTGACGTCACTTCCGGTGCCCCCATGTCACCAGAAGTAACGCGAGATCAGCTGCATGCTAGCAGGCCTCGAGGTATAGAATTCTGGTGGAGGCACCGCGAGCATGTGTGCTGCCTCTGATGACGCTCGATCAGCTGGGCCTTTAATCTGAAGGGTGTACCGCGCATGCGCTCGGCACATCCTTCAGCTATAGCAATCTGATGGGTGTGCAGCACATGCGCGCAGCACATCCCTCAGATATAGCAATCGGATATGTGTACTGTGCAAGCGTGCAGCACATCCATCAGATATTGCAATCTGATCTACAAATCTGATGGATTTCTGTACCACAGCTTTCACTGTGTAGTAACATACACATTGTAGGCGAATGTGGTGTTAAATAAGGGAGATGCACGGTTAATGGGGGTGACACACAGGGATAGGGATTTATAGGGGGTGATACACATGGGATGGGGGATATGGAGGAGTGACCAATAGTTGCCTAACAACCCAGAAGTCCCTCTCGTGGCTGCGTGGTAGCCAGCCACTAGAGGTGGAGTTAACACATAAAGATAATTATTGCAGTTGCACTTGCAATAGTTACCTTTACACGGTTAAGGGACTTGGGACACTGAACCCAGACCACTTCAATGCGCTGAATTGGTCTGGGTGCCTATGATATCCCTTTAAACATGTCAGTAAACGTATATATAGAAACATATTAAAGTAATTAATCAATTACACATGTCATTGCAGTTACTACGACATCAGACAGATGGTGAAGAGGAAGGTGAAGGCAACAGCCTCCTCCAGGAAGACAGGAGGTGGTTCACAAGAACCGGACCTGCTGCCCCATGAAGAGGAGCTCCTGCAGTTCCTGGGAAGAGACAACCTCCTTGGGATTGAGGGGACAACTGGCGCTGAAACATCTGAAGGTACATTGTTAAAGGACCACTATAGTGCCAGGAAAACAAACTCATTTTCCTGGCACTGTAGGGTATTTAGGTCCCCCACCCTCATGGCCCCCTTCCCACTTCAGCCACTTACCTTTCTCCAACCCCTTCAGCCACTTACCTTTCTCCAGCACCAGGCTCCCTCGGCGCTGGGGAACACTCCTCCCTCTGCCGACGTCAGCTCCGAATGCGCAGAAAGAGCCGTGCGCGCATTCAAACCACCCATAGGAAAGCATTACTCAATGCTTTCCTATGGACGTCCAGCATCTTATCACTGTGATTTTCACAGTGAGAATCGTGGAAGCGCCTCTAGTGGCTGTCAGTGAGACAGCCACTAGAGGCTGGATTAACCCTCAGTGAAACAGCAGTTTCTCTAGAACTGCTATGTTTTCAGCTGCAGGCTTTAAACTAGAGGGACCTGGCACCTAAACCACTTCATTGAGCTGAAGTGGTCTGGGTGCCTATAGTGGTCCTTTAAAGTCATATTTGTTAGTCGAAATGTACATATATCAGTTTGCTTGTGTTAACCTTCCAGTGTGTGTTTTCTATGCCATCAGTGCAAGCCCCTCAATCCCCAGAAGAGGCACCTGGAACTGCAGGAGATGCTGTCTACATGGAGAGCAGGGCAGCAGGTTCACCTCCTGTCTCCCTGGAAATGTGCCTGGCTTCACGTTCCTCTTGTAAGTACTTGCATAGCATTGTTAGATAAATGTTATGTGTGTGTGTGTGTGTGTGTGTGCGTGCGCATTTAAACATACACACACATATATGTGATTTTACTGTATATGAAGTTAATTTATCACATACATGTATTTCAGACCATCCACAACTTGTCGACCTTCCTTCACCACGGATGAGTGTGGTTTCCCTCCAACAGCCGGCCACTGGTGTCCAGGAACAGGGATCCACTGCTGAGTGTAAGTTAAAATGCTTTAACTGTACACATTTTCTTTGCAGGCATACTAGTTTATCTAACAGGCAGGGCTGGGTCGACCGCTAAGCATACTAAGTGTCTGCCTAGCACGCACTGGCCAGGGGGCTCAATGTCCGGGTGACCAGCAGGGGTGGGGGGGAGCTCACATCGCTCATCTCCATCTGTTCACTATATGTACTGTGGCTGAGTGGACCACGTGTGATCTTATCTACCATCTACTTGGCCTGACAGGAAGCTGAGTGCAACGATCAGCTTCCTATCATGCAGAAGAAACAGGAGATTCTCTACCTGGGGACGCTCGGCCATGATACATGTAGTGAGATTAGAAGGAAAGGGAGGTGGGCACAAAGACATGCAAAGAGACAGAGAAAGGGCTAGGGGGGACAAAGATGCATAACTATACTTAAGCATAATAATAAATTAATAGCATGACTGCATATATCTTATTTCCAAGTTTAAATAATATTGTTGTACAGATAATAGTAAGCATTGCAACATATGACACATGCTAACAATGTTCTTTCTCTGTTCTCCCCTATAGGTTCTGATGGTACTCTCCCCCTGCAAGAGGAGGGTACCATTATCCTAACAGCAGTGGATCCTAATTGACTGAGATCAGTGGCCGAAGAAATGCAGTTGCCACAACTTCCTCCACCGTTGGCTGCGCTGTATGCGACGATCCAGGCTCGTCAAGCTGAACTGGAGACGTCCATACAGCAGGATAGGGAGAATCAGCAAGAACTATTGCAGAATGTAATAACGGAGGTACGCTCCATGTCGAACATTTTGAATGAGGGCGTTAGGCAATTTATCAAAATATGCAGCGCTTTATGGAAATGAGGGAGGAAAAGTGCATTCTAATGCGCGCACAAGCTGCCCGTAATTTGGGCATAACCATTGCTGATGTAGATAGCCTAGTTCATGAACGACGTGCGCAGGGTCTTCCCAGAAGGGATGATGATGATGATGATGAATAGATATCTGTGGGAAGAATGCACTCAGATGTTTATTTATCATTATCATCCACAATGTAAAGGCTTGCCTGGAGTTGTGGGAGAGGCGTGGTGATCCTATTTAAACTCACCCCCCTTTTTCTGCATCACCGTGTAGTTTTGACTTCAGTAGGCATCACTTCCGGTTTTGGACTTCCGGGTTACGATCACTTCCGGTGCGCGGTTTGTGCGTTCAGATCGGCTAACAGCTGTTGTTTTCCCACACGCTCGGGGAAAACTGTCACACAACACCATCAAATTATATTTAACCGGCATACAACACCACATGGATACCTTATACCCAGATAACTCTAGTTTCTTATCTTCTTACCCCATTAAAAACATTCTTAAAGGCGTACAGAAATCCAGTACCACTCCTTTATATTTTTTAATGATGGTGAGTGTCGGAGGTCGTATTATATATATACACAAACACATATATATATATTATAATTCTATGTATATATTTATGTAATAATTTTACATAATTAGGTCATTTTATTAATTACAATTTGCAGGACCTGCCTGACAACCCAGGCCAAAAGTCCAGGGAATTAAATTTGCTAGCACTGTATTTAACCCTATAACTTTCTATGACACCACACATATGGGGTACTGTTTTACTTCGCTGAACACAAATATTAGTGTTTCAATGTATTACAATGTATTTCAACGATGTTATCGTCAGTGAAAGTGACTTTTTTACACACAAATGGCACTTATCTGGACGAGATAATTGTTGTGAGACGTTTTACTGTTTTGAAACACTAATATTTGTGTTCAGCGAAGTCTCCTGAGTATAACAGCACCCCTCATGTACAGGTTTTATGGTTGTAACTGATCGATGGGCACCCTGACTGGGTACCTTCGTTGGAGGATGCTCCTAGCGCTTCCTGAGGGCTACCAGCACTCCAGCCGACACCATAACCACCGTAGACTCCTTCAGAGCGCAAACCAGGAACAAGCTCTTACAAGAGTTTAGGAGTGATTATAGCAAGGGAATATGCAGAGCATAGCAATCCCTTGTAGCAGATTCCCCCAATAAGAGACAGAACTCAAATTGAGGGTGAAGAAGAACTGAAGCTTTTAATGACACTGCTTTTATGCACATTTTGCACACATAGTACTGCCCACAGGGTTTTGTAAAACAACCAATCAATACGTACAATACACTCAGACACTCCCAGCAATTACAGATAAAATCCTCCTGTGACGAGACCAATCTCGCCACATTGCATTGGAGAAGCCTGGTTGCTCGCCTGCTGCCTTTGGACTATGGCCCCCTTTTAAAAGACTTTATTTTTGCCTGCTGAAAAGCTGTATTCGTGCTTTTCTGCCTGGGGTTCAGTAGATTTGTTTGAATGTGTTATACCCCAGATAGGAATCCCATGGAGCCCATTCGTATGAAACTGACTGTAAAGACTTTGGCTCCATGGCGATTAAACTGTATTTGTGTGGTCCGAGCGCCATTCACTTAATAATGTGCGCTCAGACCTGAGCTATCTGGGGATATGTGAAATGTCTGTGTATTATGTGTAAAATGTAACTTTATGTATTTTAAAGTGTTTTACTGTCTTTGTGTCTTTTTGCAACCATGTGCTTAATGGAGTCTTGTGTCTGTCCTGGGAGATAATTGAATTACTCTCCAGGATAGAAGACTCTGAAACTGGTTTGGGCCAGAAAGCCATGCTTCATTTAGTCACAAAGGACTTTTTACTAACTTTTGAACCCCTGGTCTGATTCATGTCATTTTTTAATATGTTGTTCCCCTGAATGGATTGATTGTGTATATGTAATTTTATGTGAATGTGATGTATGGTTTTAGAGTTATGAAAGTTGGGTAGAAAGTATGTTTTAACTGTATGTGTAATTGAGTTTCCTCTCAGGATAAGGGGAGGGAATATGTGGGAGGTAACTGTGATGTGATTGGTTGCTTTATACCTCCCTGTGGGCGGTCCTGTATTTGCAAGACTGTAATAAAAACCAGGCTGGGTGTGCCAGCACCTCAGACCACTGCTTGACCCTCAACACGGAGCCTTGTCTCGTTCTTGGGGGGATTCACTGTATGCTGTTAGAGACTGATTGCCAGGAGTGTAAGCTGATTGTCTGCTTTTCCTGTTCGTCTGCTAGCAGCTATTTGGGAGGTTCCAGTTCGGGAGTTGGAGTGCTATTTTGTATCCAGTTCGTGAGTTTTGGTGATTCTACAGTAGCTGTGCCTGTCTCTAAAAGGGGGATTATCGTCTAAGCGGTTTTTACCCCTTTTGTGCAAAACGGTCCGTTACAATTGGTGGCAAGCGGCGGGATCGTTCCCACAGACTACAGGACAGCTACAGGCGACACCATTCCGTGGATTTACAATTTGAGGGCAACGCATGTCTGAGTACAGCGACCCTGACAGCAACAGCATGGAACCAGCAGTGTCATACGAGGAGGAGGACCTGGATGGCCGGGATGCATTAAGGAAAGGCATCTGGTACCAGGCCCTGGATAATGTACAGTACCAGCGGGGTGAGAGTCTCCCCAGTGAAGAGCAGCGGTTGCAGAAGCAAGTGGCCCTGCGGATGCCCTTCCTGGGAGAGCAGCCCCTAGATGAATGGGTGAAGGAATTGGAGCACCGGGTATGGCAGGAGATTTGGCTGGAAGATGCATACCAGGCGCTCTGGTGGTATGGGGCACAGTACCTGCCCTGGACAGCCGAGCATGACAAGCCAGAGGGAGAGGACTTTGATGGTCCTGGCTTGTTATGGGAGGCTTTTTCAGAGCCTGAATTTGGGAGCCCTACACAAGCCCGGTTCAGTGATCTCTTGGAGTGGAGGGAGAGCAGGTATGACTGGGACGACACTCACGACATTGAGCAAGACCTGGCTCACCTAGCAACCCTGGAGTGGGAACTGGAGCAGGACTACCGAGATCTCTTCCACTCCATTGAGAAGATTCAGCAGGACAGCAAGGTGACAGAGCCAGAGCCAGACCCATTCAGAGGGGACGAGATGGTACAGTTTTACTGGGAAGAACCCCAGGTGGCCGGTAGAGATGGGACCGAGGTCTCTCCACCGGTCCTGCAGGGAATTGGGAGCCCAGTCTCCATTCCCCAGCGGCAGTGTAAAGTGCAGGGAGAGGAGAGCAGTATCCTCCCTCCCCAGCGGCAGGCTGAGTTACAGGGGGCAGAGGTAGTTGTTCCTGCCCCCCAGCAGCAGAGTGATATGCCGGGAAGGCAGTGTGAAGTCCAGGGAGAGGAGAGCAGCGTCCTCCCTCCCCAGCGGCAGGCTGAGTTACAGGGGGCAGAGGTAGTTGTTCCTGCCCCCCAGCAGCAGAGTGATATGCCGGGAAGGCAGTGTGAAGTGCAGGGAGAGGAGAATAGTGTCCTCCCTCCCCAGCGGCAGGCTGAGTTACAGGGGGCAGAGGTAGTTGTTCCTGCCCCCCAGCAGCCAAGTGATATGCCGGGAAGGCAGTGTGAAGTCCAGGGAGAGGAGAGCAGTGTCCTCCCTCCCCAGCGGCAGCGTGATTTTTTGGGAATTGGGAGCCCAGTCTGCATTCCCCAGCGGCAGTATGATGTTTTGGGAATTGGGAGCCCAGTCTCCATTCCCCAGCGGCAGCACAGATTATTGGGAATTGGGAGCCCCGTCTCCATTCCCCAGCGGCAGAGTGTCCTACCGGGAATAGAGAGCCCAGTCTCCTTTCCACAGCAGCAGCAGGACTCTGTATTGGGAGCAGAGACAGTCGGTCTCCCTTCCCCGCAGCTGGAAGTATGTATGAGAGAGGAGCATGTTACCCCCTCTCCCCAGCGGCAGCTTAATGTACCAGGGGGAGACAGTAAGCCCCACAACTGTGCAGATGGGACCGTAGTCTCTACACTGCCAGCACAGGGGGTAGGGACGGTCGGTTCTGTCCCCCAGCGACAGGGCTGTTTAGCCAAAGGGGAGACAGTCGGTCTCCCCCTCCAGCAGCAGAGATGGGTAACCAAAGGGGAGACAGTCGGCCTCCAGCAGCAGAGCTGTGTGTCTAAAGGGGAGACAGTCGGTCTCCAGCAGCAGAGCGGTGTAGTTAAAGGGGAGACAGTCGGTCTCCCCCTCCAACAAACAGGCTTCAACCAGGCTACCCTCCCAGTAGCGCTGGCAACAGGGCAGAGTGCCACTGGTCTCTGCCCACGCAGCAACCCACCCAGTCAGCGTACCCGTACCCATCACAGCCGTGGTGAGGCACCTGGACATGGACAAGCTTCTCCTTTACCCAGGTGTAGTAACCATTTATTGTGGGTGGGCTGTGCTGTTGATTATGTTTTGTGGGTGGGCTGCTGGACTAACAAGGGCACTGACCGGCAGGAGGTCAGATACCCTGTTAGTCTGTTTGGGAAAGGGGAGAGATGTGACGAGACCAATCTCGCCACATTGCATTGGAGAAGCCTGGTTGCTCGCCTGCTGCCTTTGGACTATGGCCCCCTTTTAAAAGACTTTTATTTTTGCCTGCTGAAAAGCTGTATTCGTGCTTTTCTGCCTGGGGTTCAGTAGATTTGTTTGAATGTGTTATACCCCAGATAGGAATCCCATGGAGCCCATTCGTATGAAACTGACCGTAAAGACTTTGGCTCCATGGCGATTAAACTGTATTTGTGTGGTCCGAGCGCCATTCACTTAATAATGTGCGCTCAGACCTGAGCTATCTGGGGATATGTGAAATGTCTGTGTGTTATGTGTAAAATGTAACTTTATGTATTTTAAAGTGTTTTACTGTCTTTGTGTCTTTGTGTCTTTTTGCAACCATGTGCTTAATGGAGTCTTGTGTCTGTCCTGGGAGATAATTGAATTACTTATCTCCAGGATAGAAGACTCTGAAACTGGTTTGGGCCAGAAAGCCATGCTTCATTTAGTCACAAAGGACTTTTTACTAACTTTTGAACCCCTGGTCTGATTCATGTCATTTTTTAATATGTTGTTCCCCTGAATGGATTGATTGTGTATATGTAATTTTATGTGAATGTGATGTATGGTTTTAGAGTTATGAAAGTTGGGTAGAAAGTATGTTTTAACTGTATGCGTAATTGAGTTTCCTCTCAGGATAAGGGGAGGGAATATGTGGGATGTAACTGTGATGTGATTGGTTGTTTTATACCTCCCTGTGGGCGGTCCTGTATTTGCAAGACTGTAATAAAAACCAGGCTGGGTGTGCCAGCACCTCAGACCACTGCTTGACCCTCAACACGGAGCCTTGTCTCGTTCTTGGGGGGATTCACTGTATGCTGTTAGAGACTGATTGCCAGGAGTGTAAGCTGATTGTCTGCTTTTCCTGTTCGTCTGCTAGCAGCTATTTGGGAGGTTCCAGTTCGGGAGTTGGAGTGCTATTTTGTATCCAGTTCGTGAGTTTTGGTGATTCTACAGTAGCTGTGCCTGTCTCTAAAAGGGGGATTATCGTCTAAGCGTTTTTTTTCCCCTTTTTTGCAAAACGGTCCGTTACACCTCCCCTCTGCTTGTGATTTAATTACCTTACACAATGGGTTAATGTAATTATCACTGGCAGAGAAATACAGTTTTTACACATCTACTATAACTTTAAAACTATACATTCAATATTCAAACCGACATATTATTATTCAGCATACTTTAATTATAAACAGCCAAAATTCAGCCAATTCCAACCAGGGGTTAAAAAAGTTAGCTGGAGGTCCCTTTATGACCGACCGCAAGCACATTTCCATGCCCAAAACAGTTCCATAGATTTGGGCTGTGCGGCCGGTCAATTTCACACTGAAAAAATGACTAAGTCCCATCGCCAAATGGGACTTAGTCTCTGCGGCTGCAAAATTATTGTGGGAGAAGGTAGGGGTCAGCGGTGTTCACGGAACTGTGTAGCCGATTTCAGTTCCATGAATTTGGCTCCACACACCGCTGACCGCATTGAATGAACAAAGATGGCTGCCGCCATGTGTTCATTTGCACGAACGGCAGCCCCCTCAGCGTTCGGCAATTTACCTACAGCAGGCTCCCAGCCAGGGAGGTAAATTGCCTGCACACTTCCACTTCTGGATGGTCCGCCTGTGTGGTACCTGGTTCAGTAAGCCCCATTTACTGAACCAAGAGGGAGAAAGCCAGGAACACAGTATATTAACAATCTGGGGACAAAGTCTTAAAGAGGCATTGTTCCCAAAAGTCACAAATATGTCCCCAAATGGTTCTTAAAGGGCCAGTAGCCATTCACTGTGCTTAAAGGGCCAGTAGCCGCACAATAAAAATCTATTATGCCTAAATATGTTCTTAAAGGGCAATACATCCCAGGGGCTGTAGTCACAGGGCAGGAGGCGGGCAAGCAGGCCCCTCCAAAAGCTCATGGCAAACTCCCTTAAAAGGGTGAGTTTGCTACAATGCGGTTTTCAAAAGTTACTGAGTCAAATATAAGGCTTGCGTTTCAGTTTTTTCACATTGAAATTAGCCAGATTGGTTACGTTGCCTTTGAGACCGTATGGTAGCCCAGGAATGAGAATTACCCCCATGATGGCATACCATTTGCAATAGTAGACAACCCAAGGTATTTCAAAAGTGGCATGTCCAGTCTTTCTTAGTAGCCACTTAGTCACAAACACTGGCCAAAATTGTCATACGATTAGTTTTTTTGCATTTTTCACACACAATCAAATATTAACAATAACTTTGGCCAGTGTTTGTGACCAAGTGGCTACTAAAAAAGACCGGACACACCCCATTTGCAATACCTTGGTTTGTCTACTATTGCAAATGTTATGCCGTAATTTTCATTCCTGGGCTACCATACGGTCACAAAGGAAACATAACCAATCTTGCGAATTTCAGTGTTAAAAATGTAACATGCTATATTTGACTCTTTAACTTCCCAAAACACCATAAAACCTGTACATAGGGGGTTCAAATTGAGGGTGAAGTAGAACTGAAGTTTTAATGAAACACTTAGCTTTTCTGCCCATTTTCTGCCCATAGTACCGCCCACAGGGTTTTGTAAGACGACCAATAAAACACGTAAATTATAGTAAAACACTCCCAGCAATTACACACAAATCCTCCCCTCTGCCAGTGATATAATTACTGAACACAATGGGTTAAAGTAATTATCACTGGCAGGAAAAATATACTTTTTACACAGTTACTGTAACTTTAAAAATATACATCCAATCTTCCTAAAAGTAACATATTACTAATCAGTATCCTTTAAATATAAACACTCTCAAAAATAATACAAATCCCTCCAGTAGATAAAAAGTTAGTCGGAAGTCCTTTGTGACCGACCGCAAGCAAATTTTCCTCCCCAAAACAGTTCCATAGATTTGGGCTGTGCGGTCGGTTAATTTCAGGCATAAAAATGATTAAGTCCCATTCAAATGCACGTTCGTGCAATAGGCTCAGTAGCAGTGTGTGAGTTCAAATAGCCGAACTGTACCGAACGACGACCACCCAGCCGTTCATCAATTAGGTCAATTAGTTGCAGTTAACCACAGCTTCTGGGAGGTTAACAGGCTGCACACTCCCATTGCATGTAGTCTGGCCATTCAGCAGTTTATTCGGTAAAATAAAAGGGAATAAATAGGGCTAAATGCACGAATGGCATATGAAAAAAAGGGCACTGGTATCCACAAAACTGGAGTTTTGTCAGTTACTTACTACACAGTAAAAGATATATAAAAATAAATCTGATATAGAATTCTATATACCCCAAGGCCTGCTAGCGGACATGCTGAGATCAGCAAGTGCTTTAGCAGACCTTGGGGTATAGAATTTTATATCAGTTTGTTTTCTATATATCTTTTACTGTGTGTGTAGTAAGTAACTGTGACAAAACCCAATTTTTGTGGATACCAGTGCCCTTTTTTTTTAAAATGCCGTTCGTGCATTTAGCCCTATTTATTTATTCCCTTTTATTTTAGTTACGGTGACGTGACATTTTTTTATTTTACTTACAGTGACATGGGTGCACCGGAAGTGACCTAGGTATAGAAATCTGATAGATACAGATTTCTGATAGAGCACAGGAAGTCACTCTAGTGCAGTGGTTCCCAACCCAGTCCTCATGTTCCCCCTAACAGTACAGGATTTAAGGATTACTCAATTGTGTCTAAGGTGTTTTGGGTGAAAAAAACAAAAAACACTTTAGACACAACAGTGTAATCCCTAAATCCGGGTCTGGTAGGCGGTACTTGAGGACCAGGTTTGGAACCCCTGCTCTAGTGGCTGTCTGGTAGAGGAGGAGTTAAAGGAGCACTTGTTTTCCTGCCACTATAGGGTCATTAGGTTTGCCCACCCTCAGGGTCCCTGTGCCGCTGGGAGGAATGGGTTAAAGTCCCTTCAGCCACTTACCTTTCTCCAGCGCTGGACTCCCTCTGTGCTGGGGAACTCTCCAACCCCTAGCCGATGTCAGATCCGAATGTGCATGCGCACAATAAATTTGATTCATAAGAAAGAAAGTGAAAAAGATAGAAAAAGGAAAAAGTGAGATAGTAAATAAAAATTTAACCACAAATGGTAAAGAGAAGTGAGTGGGCAATTGGCGACCCACTCACCTGTTTCATCCCCAGGGCAGAGCATCCAAACTCCTTCGGTCCTTTGCGTGGGGAGCGGACCTCCAGAGCTCAAACACAGTGCCCTAGCGTTAACTGACTGCACTGGCGGAGGTAGCAGGCGTTGCCACTCCACTGGCAGACACAGCCAGTGGGGAGAAACCAGTACCACTGTAAGGGAGATTTTAAGGATTTGGGGGGTTGGGGAAAGAATGGAAGAATAAGGAGAAATGAGAAAAAAAAGATGTTTTGCCACCACCAACAGCAAAATAGAAAGAAATAAAATGGTAAAGAGGATTGAGTGGGCAATTGACTACCCACTCACCTGTTTCATCCCCAGGACAGAGCATCCAAACTCCTTCGGTCCTTGGCGTGGGGAGTAGACCTCCAGAGCTCAAACACAATGCCCTAGCATTAACTGACTGTGCTGGCGGAGGTAGCAGGTGTTGCCACACCGCTGGCAGACACAGCCAGAGGGGAGAAACCAGTACCACTTTAAGGGAGATTTTAAGGATTTGGGGGTTGGGGAGAGACTGGAAGAATAAGGAGAAATGAGAAATAAAATAAATATTTTGTCGTCACCAACTTTATACAATTAGAAAGAAAGTTGAGAAACCCTAAGCTCAATTACAGTCAAAGTGTAGAGCAGGGTACCCCAATTTAGGAAGATTGAACTTAAGAAAGTCGATCTGCTCCATGAGATGAGGTGACATTTGTGAGCGCTGTGGATTCAGTATATTACCGGTTACCGAAAACACACGCTCACTTGGGACAGTAGTTGGCGGACATGATAGCAGCTCCGGCGCAACCAATGAGAGTTCAGGCCACACACTCTTCTCATCCCAATAGCTATGAGGGTCGACATTATGGGGCAAAGGAGGTTCAGAGAGGTACGCTCTGACCATTTCTGAGGCAGTACTCTCCTGTCTGCTGCTAGCACTCTCAGTGGGTCCAACTATATCCTCAAGCAACTCTTCCCAAAATGCAGCTGCTCCACTCAGTTGTGTGGTGGTGGTATTGCCACTGCTTCTGCTAGAAGTAGCCGACATCTCACCCTCCTGCTGAACTACTCCCTCAGACAGCATTCCCCTCTTTTGCTGCCAGTCACACACCCTCTGGATCAGTTTCTCCCTCCAATTTGTTAAGTTATTGGATCTGAGTGCAAGCTTTCCCTTAATCCTTGGATCACACAGGCAAGCTAGCATCAGTTCAGGAGAATTATCCATTCGCTCACATAGGCGAACTTTAAGCTGATCCTTCAGCCTCCTGACCAGAGTTATTACATCAGGATGTAAAGGATCACCTTGAACAACCTCTTGGCATTCAAGGAAGACACCCATCTTGCTCCCTAGATGGGTGAAAACAGGGATTACCTGTCCCAAATTGGCAGTGTTCAAGCTTAATGGTTTCAGGACTGCCACTAGCTGAGCGATCACTGTCCAATCGTCTCTACCTAGTGGAGAACCAATACCGATGTATTGGACTGATGCCAGACTATGGATTGCCCTCTGCTGCTCTAAAATCCTCTCCAGCATCTCCACAGTAGAGTTCCACTGTGTACGGACATCTTGTCATAGACAGTGTGTGGGAAGACCTGCCTTCTCTTGTTCATGCCTCAACAGTTGGATTAGCCTTCACACTGTGGTGGAAGTGCCCAGCAATCCTCCTGCACTTTTCAATCACACTGGAAACTCTGTTATTACCTTCTGGGATTGCTGACTTTACTACTAGATGGATAATGTGCGCTGCACAGCGTACACCAACAAGGTTACCATCACGCAAAGTTTTCACCATATTTGTAGCTCCATCAGTAACCACAAACCCCACTTCTACATTGGTACCTGCCTCCGCTCCAACCCAAAGAGACACCATCCTTCTTACTGCCTGCAGAATGTTATCTGAAGTGTGTTTTTCATCCATCACTTCAGCATGGAGAAGGAAAGAGCGATAGCCCAGTTGATCTTCAGATACACCTACTCCCTTTCTGCTAGACACTGCTGCTGAAGTTGCAGCAGCAGCTTCCTGAGACACACCAGGCTCCCACCAGTGTTCTGTCAGGGAAAGAAAGGCATGCTGGCCACTTGGTGTACTCCACAAATCTGTGGTAAAATGCACAGACTGACCAGCAGCCGTCAAAAGCTCCCCTTTCACTACTCCTACACAGGACCGGTAAAGTGAAGGGATTATCCTCCTGCTGAAAGTGGAGCGTGAGGGAAGATGGTTGTAACGGACCATTTTGCCCAAAAGAGGTTAAAAACCGTTTAGGCGATATTCCCCTTTTTCAGCTGCACCGACAGCTACTGCAAGCACCAATCTCCTGAACTGCAAACCCACGAATTCACCAACTCCCGAACTGCATACCAAGGGAATACTTGAAACTCCCGAACTGGAGACACACGAATAGCTGCTAGCAGACGAACAGGAAAAGCCCCCAAGCGGCTTACACTCCTGGCAATCAGTCTCTAACAGCATGCAGTAAATCCTCCCCCAATAATGAGACCACACTTCACTTTGAGGGTTAAGCAGGAACTGATTTACTGGGGCTAACTGCCCGGCTTTTATGCAGGTCTCCCACCTGGTGGACACTCCCCTAGGGGACCAAATGGGAGACTGGGACACAAAGGGTAAAAGGACCAATCACAGACATACACATTTCAACCATCCCACAATGCATCACAATCCCTCCTCTCTGCCCTGGAGATAATTTGGGAAGTAATTCAATTATCTCCAAAGACAGAGGCAAAACTCCATTAACCACATGGCAGAAACAAACAGTAAAAGACATAAAATTACCTACAGTTACATTCAGTACATAAAACATATACATTCTACATATCCCCAGATAGCTCAGGTCTGAGCGCACATTATTAAGCGAATGGCGCTCAGACCACACGAATACAGTTTAATCGCCATGGAGCCAAAGTCTTTACACAGTCAGTTTCATGCGAATGGGCTCCATGGGATTCCTATCTGGGGCACAACACACTCAAACAAAACTACCGAACACCCGGCAGAAAAGCACGAATAAGTCTTTTCTGCAGGGAAAAAAGATGTCTTTTAACATGGGGCCATAGTCCAAAGGCAGGAGGGGAGCAACCAGGCTTCTCCAGTGTACAGTGGCGAGGTTGGTTTCGCCACAATGGTATTGTGGAGCCACAGCCTCCATCAACTGTTTGAAAGGCTCCGCTTCTATCACTGAAAAGGAAGCACCACCAACAGCAATTAACTGGCCAATAAGTCGTGTAATTTTATTGGTCTGCTGTTTAGACATAGCCCTGGAGTGGAATCCCCCAAATTGTTCCAGGGTGGGCTGGATGCATTGTGATGCTCCAACCAGTCTTGGTTGTTGGCTGGCAGCACCAGTAGCTCTTGGCTCTGCAACACCTCCCCTGTCACTCCTAGCTGCCATGGTACTGGACACTGTAATAGTACCAGCTATGCTGCCTGCCCTAGTACTTTCTGCCTCTTCCCTCAATAACACAGCCTTGTGATGGCTGCAAAGGTGATGGTTCATCCCTGCACTGGTGAGATGACCCAACACTCTCCCACTGCTGACTACCTTCCCACAAAGTTTGCACTTTGCAAAGCGCCCATCTCCAACACTTTCAAAGTGATCCCAAACTTTGCTGCGGCGCAAAACATTGGCGCTTGCCCTTCGGGATACTACTCCTAATGGTGCAGGTTGATGAGCAGCAGGAGGAGTGCGACTACTGGTAGCTGGCACAGTAGCCTCGGCACTGGTACTGTGGCTAGTAGTACCAGTGGTGGTGGTGATTGTTGGCACAGTTACACTGGTGGTGGTAACTGTGCCACTGTGAGGAGGAACAGTGGATCTGGAAATAGTAGTGGTAATAATTGATTGTGGTGGTGGTGGTGGTGTGCTAATGGTTGAAGTAGCACTAGCAGGTGCTACTATTGGAGAAAGTGGAGAGGAAGGGGAAAAATGTGCACTTGTAGCAGGAGAAAAGGTTGGACTGCTCCCTGAAGAATTCTGACTTTCCTCTACTATCTTCTCCTCACTCTCAGGCTCATAGTCAAGCTCTTCATCAGCCAGACTAAATGGAATCTCTGCAAGGCTGGGGGTAAGACTGATATCACATCTAGGAATAATAGGACTAGGAGCACGGGGTAGCATTGGCAATGGCAACAACTCCTGTGCTGATGTGCCGCTGTCAGTGGTAGAAGCAGGCACAGCACTCGTGGTGGTGGAAGTGGTGGTCTTGGGAGGGGGATTAGGAAACAGCCTCCTTGTACAAGAAGGAAGCTATTTAGCAGCACGACTCACAGGCCTGCTTGTGGTAAAGGAAGATGCTGGGGGAAAAACACGCTTCTTCTTACTTATTGGGCTACTCCTACTACTAGTTGTGTTTTTAATAATAGTACTAGCCATAGTGCTCACTCTTAAAAGCCCTGCTGGTTTCCCTTTGCCATAGAAAAGACTGGCAATTCTGGGCCTTGCTGCACTGCTGCCTGCTATTGGTGCCTTTCCTTGACCAGGATCTTGCACCAACGGGCCTGAAATGCGAGACAAAGACTTTGGCCTCCTAGGTGGTGAGTCTGACATAGCGGCACTCTTTGACCGCTTAGGCTGACGCATAGGCTGCGTACTCAAACTACCACTACTTGTGGTGGTGGTGGTGGTGGTATTTGTGGTGGTGATGGTTGCTGACTGACCCTCCCTCACTTTACTAGTGGATGAAGGTTTAGGAGGATCCATTTAGAATTTTAAAATAGTAAGAAAAGAAAAGAAGTTGAAGAAAAGAAAAGAAAGAGATAATGTAATGTATGTAGTGTTTTGAAACTAAAGTTTATATTTTTATTAAAAAGGATTATTTGAAGTTTGGAGCTATGCTAATATATAGATCAACACAGTTCAAAAAAAATATAGAGACTAGTACTGAGGCAGGTTTCTTCACTCTAGTGCTTTTTGAGGAACTATGGAAAACTGCACTGTCTGGCGTGAGCAATCTGCCAACAAGTGTTCCCTGCTCGACTACTGCAGTGCAAGCAGAGTATGAAAAAATGTACTAATATTAGAAAAATAAAATAATAAAAGATTTCCTACAGCTACCTTGAAGCTTAGGTTAGGACAGTCACACAGTCAGTCTATCAGGAACTAAACTAAACCAAATAAAAACAGCAACCAGTTAGCTTCACTGACTGAACTAATAAAAATCAGTTAATGAAAAAAGAAATTTCTTCACAACAGCAGTCGGAACAGTTAACTTCACTGCTGATGCTGATGTGAGCACATAAAGAATGACACTAGAAGAGTGAAAATTTTAAAACAAAAAATAGACTGTTTGACTGACTAATGTGCTCTGTTCTAACAAAGCACAAAGAGACTGTACTACAACAACTATATATAATTTAAACTGAAGATAATTCTATTAACTTAATAAAATGTTTTAATTAAAACTGAAGATAATTCTATTAACTGAATCAAAAAATATTACTTCACTTTTACATTGACTGCCTGCAAAGCAAGCACACACAGTCAGTGAGTGAGTGACACTAAAATCAGTCAATCAGTCACTGTGACTCCGTGCTAGTAGTTACATAGTTACATAGTTACATAGCTGAAAAGAGACTTGCGTCCATCAAGTTCAGCCTACCTCACATTTGTTTTTTGCTGTTGATCCAAAAGAAGGCAAAAAAAAACAGTTTGAAGCACAATTTTGCAACAAGCTAGGAAAAAAATTCCTTCTTGACCCCAGAATGGAAGTCAGATTTATCCTTGGATCAAGCAGTTATTACCCTACATTGAAAGATTATATCCTTGAATATTCTGTTCTTGCAAGTATGCATCTAGTAGCCGCTTGAACATCTGTATGGACTCTGATAAAACCACTTCCTCAGGCAGAGAATTCCACATCCTGATTGTTCTTACAGTAAAAAAACCTTTCCTTTGCCTTAGGCGAAATCTTCTTTCTTCCAGTCTAAACGCATGGCCTCGTGTCCTATGTAAAGTCCGGTTTGTGAATAGAGTTCCACACAATGGTTTGTATTGGCCCCGAATATATTTGTATAATGTTATCATATCCCCTCTCAGGCGACGTTTTTCTAAACTAAATAGGTTTAAATTTGTTAACCTTTCTTCATAGCCCATATGTTCCATTCCTTTTATTAATTTTGTAGCCCTCCTCTGCACTTTTTCTAGTGCCATAATATCCTTCTTTAGAACAGGTGCCCAAAATTGCACAGCATATTCAATATGGGGTCTTACCAGTGATTTATAAAGAGGCAAAATTATATTCTTGTCCCGAGAATGAATGCCCTTTTTCATGCATGACAATACCTTACTGGCCTTGGCCACTGCTGATTGATATTGCACATTGTTGCATAGTTTGTTGTCTATATTCCCAAGTCCTTTTCATGTGTTGCTATCCCTAATTCGCTTCCATTAAGGGTATACGTTGCTTGTGTATTCTTTACGCCGAAGTGCATAACTTTGCATTTTTCAACATTAAATTTCATCTGCCATTTGAGTGCCCAGTCCCCCAGTCTATCTAAATCCCTCTGCAGCAAAGTAATATCTTGCTCACATTGTATTGTTTTACAAAGTTTGTTGTCATCTGCAAACACTGAAACATGACTTTCAATGCGGTCTTCAAGATCATTTATAAACATGTTAAATAGAAGGGGTCCCAGAACAGACCCCTGAGGGACACCACTTGCCACCTCTGTCCAGCTAGAAAATTTACCATTAATGACAACTCTTTGTACTCTGTTTTTAAGCCAATGTTCTACCCAAGAACAAGCATTTTCATCTAGACCGATTTCCTTGAGTTTGAACACTAATCTATTGTGTGGAACTGTATCAAATGCCTTGGCAAAATCCAAATAGATCACATCCACGACAACACCCTGATCTATACTTCTACTTCCTTCTTCGCAGAACGCAATCAAGTTAGTTTGACATGACCTGTGCTTCATAAAACCATGCTGATATTTGCTGATAACCATGTTCTTCTCAAGGAATTCTTGAATATTATGCCTTAATAACCTTTCAAATATTTTACCAGCCACAGAAGTTAAGCTCACAGGTCTATAATTTCCAGGCAAGGATTTTGAACCCTTTTTGAATATAGGAACCACATCTGCCTTCCTCCAATCCTCCTGAAAGATTAAAAACAGAGGTTCACTTATTTCTGCACTTAGTTCCTTAAGTACACGTGGATGGATACCATCAGGCCCTGGAGCTTTGTTTATATTAACTTTCTTTAGTTGCTGCAGCACCTTGTCTTGAGTTAACCAATTACAATTATTCTGCAGGTTTTTAGTAGCTATCATTTGCACATCTATTGCCATGGTTTCTTCCTTAATATATACGGAGGAGAAATAGTTATTTACTAGCACAGATTAAACTAAGTTTGTGTGGACTGGAGTATAGATTCACTTTAAAAAAAAAAAATTAAAACCCAGTCAAACACACTTAGCTGAGACTGACAGAAGATTAACTTTCTCTATCAGCATTCAGAATGAAACAGCAGCACGTCTGCAAAATCAATGTCTAACAAAAATCAACTAATCAACTTTGCTGCTAAAAAAGACTTAACAGATAAACTAGATTAAGATTTATTTTCTTCTAGGCTAGCAAGCTAACAAGCTTGTCTACCCCTGGGCAGAAGCCCTCAGGCCCACTAAGCTAAAGTACTTGACTGATTCTACCTTTACTCTAAATCTAAATAAATTTAAGCTAATTAATTTTGATTAAATAAAAAAGCAGATTTAAAAAAAAAAAAGTAATACCTGGTTGTGGTAGGCAGTAAGCAAGCAGGGAAGGCAGGCACTGGCAGTGCCAGCCAGGCACTGTGTGGCACACTGACTCAGTCAGCAGCACAGCAGTGCACAGCTCTCAAAAAGCACTAAAATTAAAAAAATAATTCTCAGGAATAGTCTCTCAAATTCAACTGGCAGGCACACCAAGACTCACAAAAAATAAGACTCTAAGTCTAAGTTAAGTAATGAGGCTAACACAGCACAGAAGTACAGTGTGTCACCAACAAAACTCAGTCAAAGAAGGGGGAGAAAGTTCCACTGCCTGCTTTTATACTGCTGTTTAGTTATTTTTAAATCCCAACTAAAGCACTCACCATTGGATAACCCCCTACAGCAGGGGTTTTCAACCCAGTCCTCAGGACCCCCTACCAGTCCAGGATTTGGGGATTACCTGGGTGTGTCTCAGGTGTTTAGAAAAAGGGAAAAAAACACCTTAGACTCTAAGGTGTTTTTTTTTCTTTTTCTAAACACCTTAGACACACCCAGGTAATCCCTAAACCCTGGACTGGTAGGGGGTCCTGAGGACTAACGTTGAGAACCCCTGCCCTACAGCATCATGTCAAAGGAGTGAGCTGATTAGATAAATGAAAATCAGCTAAAGCCTATACCCCTCCACTTTGATTCATAAAAGGCATCTGTAACAGATCACCTTCCGTTAATGGACGCTTCCTAGCTTGCGCCGAGGACCAAAAGCACCACACACCACAACCACCGCAGACTCCACAACCGCCGTAGCTTAACTGGAGCCTCGCCGTCTTCCGTCCACCCTGGATCAGCTTCTGTCCTCCAGGACCGTGTAGGGAAGTCCTCTCCTCCAGGAGAGCGTATCAGGAACAAGCTCTTAAAATAGCTAAGTGATTAAAAGCTCAGGGGAGTATGCAGAGCATAGCAATCCCCAGTGATTACAGCAGCTCCCTCCAATAACGAGACAAGGCTAAGCTATTGAAGGTCAAACAGGATCTCATTTACTTGGCACCAAAGGGCCTTCTTTTATGCAGGTTTTCCTTACATAGGACCACCCACAGGGTTTTACAGAACAACCAATAACACACGTACATTACAGAAAACACTCCCAGCAATTACCTACAAAATCCTCCCCTCTGCCTGTGATCTAATTATGGTACACAAAAGATTAACATAATTATCACAAGCAGGAAAAATACAGTTTTTATACATGTACTGTAACTTTAAAACCACACATCCAATCCACATATTATTAATCAGCAAACTGGAAATATGAACATACGCAAAAATCATGCAGATCCTTCCATTAGTTCAAGTTAGTCGGAAGTCCTTTATGACCGACCCCAGGCACATTTTCCTGCCCATAACATTTCCATAGATTTGGGCTGTGCGGTCGGTCAATTTCACACTGAAAACATGACTAAGTCCCATTTGAATGTGCGTTGGAATCTTCGAACGGGACTTAGTCTCTGTGGCTGAAAACTCAGGAAGTGTAGGAGAAGGTAAGTGTAACGGAGCTCCTTGTACTCCGACTGAGTACCCTCTGTTGACGGATGTTCCTAGCGCTTCCTGAGGACTCCAAGCAGCGCATCAGACACCACAACCACCGCAGACTCCGCAACCGCTGTATCTTGACTGGAATCTCGCCTTCTTCCTTCCACCCTGGATCAGCTTCTGTCCTCCAGGACTGTCTGGAAAAGAACTCTTCTTTCCACCCTGCATGAACCTCCAGCATCCAGGACTGTGTGGTGAAGACCCCTCCTCCAAGGAGAGCGTGTCAGGAACAAGCTCTTAAAAGAGCTAAGTGATTAAAAGCTCAGGGGAGTATGCAGAGCATAGCAATCCCCAGTGATTACAGCAGCTCCCTCCAATAACGAGACAAGGCTAAGCTATTGAAGGTCAAACAGGATCTCATTTACTTGGCACCAAAGGGCCTTCTTTTATGCAGGTTTTCCTTACATAGGACCACCCACAGGGTTTTACAGAACAACCAATAACACACGTACATTACAGAAAACACTCCCAGCAATTACCTACAAAATCCTCCCCTCTGCCTGTGATCTAATTATGGTACACAAAAGATTAACATAATTATCACAAGCAGGAAAAATACAGTTTTTATACATGTACTGTAACTTTAAAACCACACATCCAATCCACATATTATTAATCAGCAAACTTGAAATATGAACATACGCAAAAATCATGCAGATCCTTCCATTAGTTCAAGTTAGTCGGAAGTCCTTTATGACCGACCCCAGGCACATTTTCCTGCCCATAACATTTCCATAGATTTGGGCTGTGCGGTCGGTCAATTTCACACTGAAAACATGACTAAGTCCCATTTGAATGTGCGTTGGAATCTTCGAACGGGACTTAGTCTCTGTGGCTGAAAACTCAGGAAGTGTAGGAGAAGGTAAGTGTAACGGAGCTCCTTGTACACCGACTGAGTACCCTCTGTTGACGGATGTTCCTAGCGCTTCCTGAGGACTCCAAGCAGCGCATCAGACACCACAACCACCGCAGACTCCGCAACCGCTGTATCTTGACTGGAATCTCGCCTTCTTCCTTCCACCCTGGATCAGCTTCTGTTCTCCAGGACTGTCTGGAAAAGAACTCTTCTTTCCACCCTGTATGAACCTCCAGCATCCAGGACTGTGTGGTGAAGACCCCTCCTCCAAGGAGAGCGTGTCAGGAACAAGCTCTTAAAAGAGCTAAGTGATTAAAAGCTCAGGGGAGTATGCAGAGCATAGCAATCCCCAGTGATTACAGCAGCTCCCTCCAATAACGAGACAAGGCTAAGCTATTGAAGGTCAAACAGGATCTCATTTACTTGGCTCCAAAGGGCCTTCTTTTATGCAGGTTTTCCTTACATAGGACCACCCACAGGGTTTTACAGAACAACCAATAACACACGTACATTACAGAAAACACTCCCAGCAATTACCTACAAAATCCTCCCCTCTGCCTGTGATCTAATTATGGTACACAAAAGATTAACATAATTATCACAAGCAGGAAAAATACAGTTTTTATACATGTACTGTAACTTTAAAACCACACATCCAACCAATATATTATTAATCAGCAAACTTGGAAGAGGAATACACGCAAAATCATGCAGACGCATTAGTTCAAGTTAGTCGAGTCTTATGACCTAATTTCAGGCAATATTTTCTTCCTCTGCCCATAACATTTCCATAGATTTGGCCAGCGGTCGGTCAATTTCTACATTCGAAACAACACATGACTAAGTCCCATTTGAATGTTCCTTCAACGGGACTTATTCTGTGGCTGAAAACTCAGGAAGTGTAGGAGGAAGGTAAGTGTAATTGAGCTCTTAGAAATTACTGAGTACCCTCTTAAGTTGACGGATGTTCCTAGCGCTTCTGAGGACTCTGGGCAGCTTATCAGACACTCACAAATCAATGAGACCTTGCGAACTGTATCTGACTGAATTCGGGCCTTTCTTCCTTCCACCCTGGATCAGCTTCTGTCCTCCAGGACTGTCTGGAAAAGAACTCTTCTTTCCACCCTGTATGAACCTCCAGCATCCAGGACTGTGTGGTGAAGACCCCTCCTCCAAGGAGAGCGTGTCAGGAACAAGCTCTTAAAAGAGCTAAGTGATTAAAAGCTCAGGGGAGTATGCAGAGCATAGCAATCCCCAGTGATTACAGCAGCTCCCTCCAATAACGAGACAAGGCTAAGCTATTGAAGGTCAAATAGGATCTCATTTACTTGGCACCAAAGGGCCTTCTTTTATGCAGGTTTTCCTTACATAGGACCACCCACAGGGTTTTACAGAACAACCAATAACACACGTACATTACAGAAAACACTCCCAGCAATTACCTACAAAATCCTCCCCTCTGCCTGTGATCTAATTATGGTACACAAAAGATTAACATAATTATCACAAGCAGGAAAAATACAGTTTTTATACACATGTACTGTGTAACTTTAAACCACATCCAATCCACATATTATTAATCAGCAACTTGAAATAGAACATAATGCGAAATCATGTAGATCCTTCCATTAATTCAAGGTCGAGTCCTTACAGGACCCAATCTCAGGCACATTTTCCTGCCCATAACATTTCCATAGATTTACAGCGGGTCGGTCAATTTCACACTGAAAACATGACTGCCCATTTGAATGCGCGCTGGAATCTTCGAACGGACCCTAGTCTCAGGCTGGAAAAACTCAGGAAGTGTAGAGAAGGTAAGTGTAATTTGGAGCTCCTTGTACACCGACTGAGTACCCTCTGTTGACGGATGTTCCTAGCGCTTCCTGAGGACTCCAAGCAGCGCATCAGACACCACAACCACCGCAGACTCCGCAACCGCTGTATCTTGACTGGAATCTCGCCTTCTTCCTTCCACCTTGGATCAGCTTCTGTTCTCCAGGACTGTGTGGGAAAGAACTCTTCCTTCCACCCTGTATGAACCTCCAGCATCCAGGACTGTGTGGTGAAGACCCCTCCTCCAAGGAGAGCGTGTCAGGAACAAGCTCTTAAAAGAGCTAAGTGATTAAAAGCTCAGGGGAGTATGCAGAGCATAGCAATCCCCAGTGATTACAGCAGCTCCCTCCAATAACGAGACAAGGCTAAGCTATTGAAGGTCAAACAGGATCTCATTTACTTGGCTCCAAAGGGCCTTCTTTTATGCAGGTTTTCCTTACATAGGACCACCCACAGGGTTTTACAGAACAACCAATAACACACGTACATTACAGAAAACACTCCCAGCAATTACCTACAAAATCCTCCCCTCTGCCTGTGATCTAATTATGGTACACAAAAGATTAACATAATTATCACAAGCAGGAAAAATACAGTTTTTATACAT